CTGGGCGTTTCCCCATCAGTGAACTGCGCCTACAGCCCCCGGGGATACGGGCAGCCCCCGGGGCAGAGCGCAACCCGGCCGGACTGCGTGGCACTGGAGCTGGGCGACGACAGCCCCCCAGGAGCCCCCCACCCGGAGGGTGCCAGCCCCCCGGCCCCGCAGCAACCTTGGGCCTCCAACAGCTCCTCCAACAACAACATCGGTGGCAGCCCGGCCGCCCGCGAGCCCGGGGACAGCTGGTGCTACCGCCGCATGATCACCTTCCGCGGGCTGATGGCCAAGCCGCTGGGCACCGTGCCGCGCGGACAGCCCCAGCTCGGGGGGTCCCCACCGGGCCTCGATTTTCGCCGCCCTCGGGGGCAGGAGCAGGCCCCCAGCACGGTTGGCAGCTCCTCCCCGTGCCGCTCGCCCTCCCCGCGGAGCCAGGCCTGGCAGAGCCGTGACTCATCAGCCTCTGGCTGCTCTCAGACGGTGGCGGTGGCACTGGCTGGTGGCCCCGGCACGCCATGGGGCCCCGGTGCAGCCCCGGCAGCCGTAGCCGGGCCCCAGCCGTGCCCGCAGGATGCCCGCCCGGCCGAGGGCACGGAGGGGAGCAGCCCTGCCCGCAGCCCTGTGCCGTGCGCCACCGCTGCGCTGGGGCTGGAGGAGGCTGCCCCCATGGCTGGCACCGCTGCCCCGAACCCTGGGACCCCCACGGAGCCCGGTGTAGATGGTGCCCGGCCTACAGCGGAGGCTGCTGAGGCACCGGTGCCCGGGGAGGCTGCTGCGGACAGCAGCACGTGTCCTGCCAGTGACACGGACAGGACCCCGGACAAGACGTTTTCCAGCGCCAGTTTCCCCGCTGGGGACGAGGGGAGCGACGAGGACACGGCGGAGCTGACCTCCGGCGTCTTCACCGACTTCTCCGGGGACTACATGGAGAGGGTGGACATGGCCCCGGCGTTCAAGTCCCTGCAAAAGCAGGTGGGGACACCGGATTCCCTGGAGTCCCTGGACATCCCCTCCACAGCCAGCTCCTGCGAGGTGTTCAGCCCCACCGCCTTCGCGCCCGCGGGGCAGCCCAAGGCGCTCGACAGCGGCTACGACACCGAGAACAACGAGTCCCCCGAGTTCGTCCTCAAGGAGCCCCACGAGCCCCGAGAGCCAGAGGCTTTTGGCCAGCTGGGGAAGCCGCCCCCAGGGTTGCCGGGGGCTGAGGGCGAGGTCCCGGCCCCCGAGACGCGGCTCTCGGCGTCCTTCAGCGCCGAGCTGCACGGCCTCTCCGAGAAGAACCCGTACCGTGACTCTGCCTACTTCTCCGACTACGACACCGAGGCCGAGCGTGGCCCCAAGGATGACGAGGACAGTGACGGGTCCGACAGCCCGGAGGCAGAGAAGGAGGGGCCCCAGCCCCACGCACAGGACCTGGCACAAGCCCCCGGGCTGGGTGAGGACCCGCTGCACCCCCCAGGAGCCCCCGGGAGCCCCCCGGCAGCGCCCAGCACAGCGGAGGCATCTGAAGCACCAGATGTCGGGGTCTCTGCAGGGGACTGGAGGGGGGCAGAGGCTGGGGATGCCCCGGCTGGCCCCACAGCACAAGAGGCTGGCACCGACCTGCGAGCCATGGGGCCAGGCCCTGATGGAGACACCCCAGGGGTCTGCAGCGTCCCCCCGGGCTCTGTGCCACCCAAGACTTTCTTCTTGTCCCCAGTGCCAGCGAGCCCCGAGGAGCCAGCAGCAGGCAGAGGGACCCCCGAGGCTGAGGGCATCCCCGGACTGGGGGGGGATGCGGCCGGGGGCGAGCAGACTGTGTCCCCCACGCCAGGGCTGGGGGAAGCGGGGCTGTCCCCAGAGGGCACCGGGGTGGGCATCGCCCCCGGAGGGGATGCACCAGGGGGTCCCAGCACGCCGCTATCGGGGGGTGAGTCACCGGTGCGCTCCCCCCCGGGGCTCTCCCTGCTCCCGTGCACCCGGGAGCCACGGCCGGCCACCTCGGAGCGCCGCGAGGAGCCGGAGGAGGAGGAGGAGGACACGGAGGACAGCGACGAGTCGGACGAGGAGCTGCGTTGCTACAACATCCAGGAGCAGAGCGAGGAGAGTGAGGAGGAGCCGGCGGCCGTGCCCATCGTGGTGGCCGAGAGCCACAGCAGCAGGAACCTGCGCAGCCTCCTCAAGATGCCCAGCCTGCTCTCCGAGGCCTTCTGCGAGGACCTGGAGCGCAAGAAGAAGGCCGTGTCCTTCTACGACGATGTCACCATCTACCTCTTCGACCAGGTAAGGGCAGAGCCTGGGGAGGGCGCACGGTGATGGGCACGGCGCGGGGGCGCTTTGAGCCCCGGGCTTGCCACCAGCGAGCCACCAGCATCTCCTCCTTCGCAGGAAAGTCCCACGCGGGAGCTGGGCGAGCAGAGCTTCCCGGATGCCCCCGAGCCTTCAGGGCAGCCCCCGGCCAGCGGCAGCCCCACGAGCCCCACGAGCCCCGCCAGCCCCACGGACAGGCTGAGCGCCTCCGACGACTCCTCAGACGGCAACGCCTCGGAAGAGAGTAAGGGGGCAGTGGGGGCAGCGGGGTGGCGGTGGGGCTGGGTGGGTGACCCCCCCTGCACGGTGGGCTCAGCCCCAGCCCCCTCGCTCTGCGTCACAGGCGGTGGCTTCGAGTGGGACGACGACTTTCCGCTCATGCCGGTGAAGCCGTCGCTGATGTCCTCGCTGTCGGGGACGCCGGCGGAGCCCGACCCCTCCGTCCCCGCGCTGCTGCCGGCCCCCAAGCAGGTGCTGCCCCTCCAGTTCTCCCGTTTCACGGTCTCGCCTGCCCCGGTGTCCCGCTTCTCCATCACCCACGTCTCCGACTCGGACATGGACTCCATAGGAGGTGAGGTCCCGCCGCGTGCCCACCCTGGGGGTCCCCATCTACCCCACAGGGCCACCCCTTGCAGCCCGGACACTCGGTGCCCTGTGCCCCCTCGGGGACCAGTCACCCCTGGGCCACCTCATCCCTACGAGCACTGTACCCAGTGCCCTGCTCATGCCGAATCTCTGCTCCTTTCCAGGCAGCAGCGAAGACGGTGACCGGGAGTGAGCCACCCTGGGTGCTCAGCTGCTAGCGGCACCGGCACCGGCACCGGCCGGCGGCCACGGAGGACAGACAGGGGCAGAGCCGGAGTGGGACCTGGCCCGGGCTCATGGCACCGAGCTCCGATTTTTTTTTTTTTTAAGGGGATTTGGTCGGAAGGAGTTTTTGGGTGCTGCTGCTGGTCGGAGCCGGGCACGGCCCGGGGCGAGGCGGTGGGTGCCGGCCGTGCGTGCGCGAGCGGATGGCTGCGCGTGTATACATAGATATATATATATAGACATATATATATATAAATTAGAGCATTCACGGGGTAGTGCCCTGACCTTGCTAACATTTGCGGAGTCCCCCCCACCCCAGTGAAGACCCCCACCCCTTTGGCTTCTCGCCCACGTGTGCTCCCGAGGCGGTGTTTGTCCCCACACATCCCCCCTGTGCCGTGCACCTCGATGTTCCCCCACCGTGTCCCTCCCTGCCCGGGCTGGCGCTGGCTCTTGGTGGCTGGGGAGGGGGTCTGGGGGGGTTACAGGGGGTGCAGCACGGCTCGAGGGGGCCAGGGGAGCTCCCAGCCCTTGCGTTTTGCCTGGTCCTTCTGGGGAGCAGCCCCCGGCGCGGGGAGGGATCCCCCCAGGGGGCTGAGAAGCTGGGGAGGGGGAGCGCCAACCCGACTATTTTTGTATTTAAAGAAAAGGAAAAAAAATACTAAAAAAAAAAACAAAAACAAAAACAAAACTTGCTGTTGACAGAACTCACATTGACGCGGTTTTAAGTTATTGTTGCCAAAGAGATGTAAAGAGTTTGTGGAGGCATTTGGGGGAGCGGGGGGGGGGGTTTGCGGTTTGTTCGTTCAGGGTTTTTTTTGTTGTCGTTTTCTTTTTTTTTTTTTTTTAATTCATTTAAGGCTTAGGATAATTGTGCAATTCCAGCTTCCAGAAGGAAATGGGACTAAGCGGAGCTGAGCGAAACCTTGAAATCAGGGCTGTTTCCTTTGGGGCCAATAGACCAAACCCTGAGGTGAGAAATGCCCCCCCCAGACCCAGACCCTCCCCAACCCCTCCCTGTATCCTGCAGCCCAGGCTGGCTCCCGTGGGTGCGTGGGGTGAGTGCACACACAAAACACACACACACACATACGCACACGTGTGGCTACGTGCCATGGGATGGGATGGGGGCTGCTTTTGGCCCCGGGGGGGGCTCGGTGCTGCAGCACCAGCCCATTCCCCAGCATGGCACAGTTAAAATGCCAGGGGGTGACCTCGCACCTTCTCCAACCCACCCTGCGCTCGTGCCTGCTGCCGGTGCCACCTCTTTGTCCCCCCCCCAGGGACGAGCAGGGTCCCCAGCCCCAGCCCCGAAGGCCGGGGTGGCTGCGCCTACCCCGTGCCCTCCCTTCCTAATTTACCCAGCTCAATCAGTGCTTTAATTAAGCGCTTTATTTCAGCTCCAACCCACCCCTAACCCCCTGTCCCCAGCCATGCCCTCGCACCAGGCTCCCTGCTTTGCAACCAGGGGTGCTCAGCCCCCTACCCACCCCCCAAGCCCTCCCGTGTCCCCCCCCCAGCCCAGGGTTTGGTCTATGGCGTGCGAGGCAGCTGCCTCTGGAGGGCAGCATGAGAACAGAGCTGTGTGCGGGATTATTTTTTTTAAACCAGAAAAAGGCGATTATTATTACATTGTATATTTTACCAAATACGGGTCATAACTGCTGTATTTTTTAATCAGTGCTGATTTCCATACAGCTCCCAGCATGCGTGTCAAACATCATCGGGCCAATAATAAAGTTTTTAAAATATCCTTAAGCCGTTTGCTGCCCGCATCATTCCCCGGCAAGCAGGAAGGGGCCGGGGGCTGCTCTGGATTTGGATGAGGTGTGGGCACTCCAACCCCAGAGCTGCAGCACTGGAGGGCTCCGGAGCCCCCCAGCTAAGGAAAACACGGGGTACCTGGTGGGGTGTGTGTGGGGGGGTAAATTTTATTGCTCATAAATTACTTTTTTCATAAAAAATTCTTTCAGGTTACATCTTGCAGGTGCCACCAAGCCAGGAGGTGCAGCGAAGCCCCCGGGGGGGGGCGGCCCTTGCTGTGGGGCTGGAAGAGGACGACGTGGGGCTGGCGGCGAGGTGGAACCTGGGGCTGACCCCTGCCTGGCCACGAGCCCCCAGCCCTATCCTGTGGCCCTGCGCCCCAGCAGAGCCCCTTCCCCTTGCCCCCATCTGCCTGTGGCCTTCACCTCAACTGGTGCCCCCCCAGCTCCTGTGGGACCCCAAGAAGGCACGGCGAAGGCTGGCACCGCGTGGCTGCCCCCAGCTCCCAACTGATCTCCCCCCACCTGTGGCACAGGCACGGACAGGAGGCTCTGCACAGCCCCGGCACTGCATTTTTGGGGTGTTACTGGTTTGGACACACTTCGGTGGCAGCTTCCCACGCGCGTTGTGGCAGCCGCGGAGCTGGAGGTGAGCACCCCGGGGACGCAGAGCGGAGGAAGCAGGAGGGGGGCTCTGGTGCGCAGGGTGCTGGGGGCTGCGGTGGTGCACAGCCTTGTAGAAGACACAGCACCGTGGCCAGGAGAGAACCGTGCCCGGGGGAGCAGACAGAAGCCGGCTGGTCCCAGGAGGATGCGCTCTGTGCCGGGGAACTGCCGCACATCAGAGGGGCACAGCAGCAACCGAGCCTAACTGGGAAGCAGCCCTAAAGTGGAACCCGCAGACAGCGGCTGAGGCATTCGGGGCTCTTTGCTACCTGGGCTAAACCTACCGTCAAAGCAACCACCGAGGGGGTCCTCTGAGCTCTAGCAATTAAAAAGTGCAAAAAGGCAACGAGAGCGGGAGGCAGGAGCGCAGAGGCACTGCCCCGCTGGTGCCAGCCGCAGGCACCCGGCTGCAGGCACAGCGAAGATGCAAATCCTGCCTGGAAAACCCATTCCCATTTGGGCAGCACACCCCAGCCCCACAGCGGCTCCTGCGATGAGGTTGGGGATTGGGGGGATTCGGGGCAGGGTGCCCCCTCCTGCCGGCAGCTCTGCGCCACCAGCGCCGTGCAGCGCGCTCGCTCGTGGGCGCGCACCCTAGCAGTAAGCTCAGCGAGTATACGTGTGGATATATCGGGCTCATGCAGCCTTGGAATAGAGGAAGGGAAACCAGCAAAGCGAGAGGGCTCGAGGGGCGAGCCTGTTAGGGGAGCGCTCCTTCAAACACCAGCTTGCCCCATGGCCTGGGCGCTGCAGCCACCCCAGGCACCCATCCGCGGAGCCCGCCCCTCCTCAAGTATTTTCCTAGCTTATATCTTACAGCAGTACCGTGACACCCCCTGTGCACGCTGCCGTGGTGCTGCAGCAGCTCCGGGAGCAGAGGCCGGCCCCATCCCCAGGCTGCAGCCCTGGCACCAGTGGCCGAGGTCCCGCAGGAGGCTGAGCACTGGCTGTGGGGCTCAGCCCCCCTTGGATTATGGGGGGCCTGAGGGCACCCGCCCAGCCGGGGGGGCCCCATCTCCCCTCTGCTGCACCCTGGAGAGCAGGGAGCCCTCGGGGAGCTGCCAGCTGAGGCCGTTCTCCCCAGCCCTGCGATCTGCTGCTAATCCTAGAAGCAAACCTGGCTACAGGAGAGGTGCCGAGAGCGCCGCGCTCCCGTCTGCACAAGCAGGGGGTCGGGGCAGGGGCAGGGGTTTAACCCTCTGCCTCCGCGAGGAGGAAGGATGTAGAGAAGGGTGAGAGAATCAGGGCACTAGCTTTAGCCTTTGGCTTTGGAAGCAGCAGGATTAAATAAACTCTGCCTAAAAATGAAGGTCTGGGGAGGCAGACATGCACCGGGCGATGAGGAGGCGGCGTGTGCCACCCGGCACGGCGGCAGCGCTCCCGGCATCAGCTGATGAGCGGAGCCGAGCGGTCGTTCGTCACGGTCGGCTTCAGCTGGACGTTGGCAAAGGGGTTTCTGCAGGGAGAGAGGAGGGCAGAGTTTAGCAGAGGCTCTCCCCGTGCAGGGAAGGGGGCCTGCGAGGACGGGGCAGCGAGCGATGACCTTGGCGAGACCCCAAAAGCTCTGGCTGAGGAGGCGAGGCTGCAGCAGGCTCCGACGGCTGCGGCCGGAGCCCCGCGCACCCCCTGCGGCCGTGGGCGAGCCGTGGGTGCCTGTAGCCCTGCTCCCCTCCACCAGCCCGGCCTCGGGCAGCGTTTCTGAAGCGGTGAGGCTGGAACTGCTCTGCCCTGCCCAGCCCCTCGCCGAGATGTCCCCAAGACGAGCCAGCGAGGTCGGTGAGCGCGGGATTTTCTCCTACCTTGCTTTTCAGCAGTAACCAAGCCGGGCTCTTCCAAAGGGAAAAACCAGGGACGCGTGCAGGGAGCTGGGGGTGCTCAGCCCAGGGTGCACAGAAGCAGGAGAAGCTGCTCCAGCCCCCCGGGCACCTCCTGTGCAGGGGAGCCCCGAGGCAGCTGCAACATGCACAGGGTAAGGCTCTGCTCCAAGGTGTGCTGGGACACCCGGGCACGAGCAGAGCTTGCAGCTCCGTGCCAAGCTGGCTGCGAAACCTCAGAAGCGACAAAACCTCCAAGGGGCAGAGAGCAGGGAGAGGGGAGGCTCCTGAGCTGGTTCCACCCGAGCTGTCCCAGCACCATCCTGCACTGGCTGGCTCTGGGGGCCCAGTCTCCGGCAGGCAGATTGCCACACGCAGCATCTGCGACAGCGCACAGCCCTCGGCACACATCCTGCACACCCAGCACAGCCCCCTGCGTCCCCTCCTGAGCACAAGCAGCCCCTCGTTGCTGGCCAGCCCCCAGCTTCTGCCCCCATCCCCCCCCAGGAGCCAAACCAGCTATGGCAAAACCCGCAAACGTCTGCAGCAGGGAGCTGTCAGCAGCCTGGGGGCCCCTCACACCCGCTCCCCCAGCCCCTTTCCATGGCTGAGTCAGTGCCGCGGGCACCCTGGTAGCAGGACAGGCATGAACATGGGGTAGGGGATGCTAGGAGCAGCCGTGGTTATCAGCTGCCTCCTCCTGGAGCAGAGCCCGCGGCTTGGGAGACGTCTCCGACATCGGCAGAAGGAGCAGGAGGGGCCTGGTGCCCCCCTGGCACTGCCCCCCCCGGCCCTCGCCATGCCTCACCTTTAGAAGCGTGCTTTTGCTTTCCTCAAAAGATAAAGGGCTTTTGCTTCAAAATAGGGTAATTAATTTCCCCACCTAATTAATGCAGGTTCTTAGATCACTTTTCCCCCTAGGATGCCAAAATAGATTCTCGAGACTGAAAGGATAGAAAAGGTTGCTTTGATGAGTCACCAGGGGTTATTATTTAACTGGTTTTGTTCTGGCGGAGAAGAGCACTTTGGCCAGGAGCCCACGGCTCAGAACCACGGGGGAAATCATCGCGTGGCCCGCAGGGAGCAGCGAGGGGCTGCAGCCCGGCTCCCCTGCGCTCTGCTCCACAGGGACCGGGCACTGCACAAGCAGACCCCGGGGGTGGGGGTCAGAACAAGGCGGCTCCGAGCTGCGTCCCCAGAGCCTGGGGCTGGCAACGCCATCTACAAGCAAAAAGAAGCTGCTCAAAGAACTTCAAATTAGTGACAAGGTGTGGTCCTGCCCTGCCCCGGGGACAGGGTGGCAGCATCCAGGGGTGACCCAGCGACACGGTGCCGCTGGGGCAGCGACCACCGACGACCTACAACCAAAGGGATTCGTTATGGGGTCGGGAGCAGGGCAGGGAGCAGCAGGAGCTGGGCGAGAAGCCGGGGGCCCCGCGGAGGCAGCGTGACACCAGCAGTGCCCGGCGATGCGAGGAGCCGTGCAGCAGCAGTGGGGTTGGATGAGGGGGGCTTCCACCACCGGGACAGGGACACGGGGACGAGCGGTGCCCGGGTGGGTGCAGCGGCACCACAGGCGTGCAGGGCGGGCGCAGGAAGCCGAGCGGTGGCAGCGTCCCCACGCACAGCCCCGCGGTGGCACCAGGTGCCCAGCGGCCAGCACAGCGAGGGGCAGACGGAGACCATCAACTTACTAACTACGGGCAGGGGCATCTCAAAACCTGGCCACTTCAACATCGGGGCTGCAAGGGAAAGAGAAGGCAGGTTGTAGGACACCGGCACGCTCCGCGCCGCCTTGACGGGAACAAAGGGTGGTGGTTAATGAGAGGAACCGGGCGGACACCGGCTGCGCCGCACGCATCTCCAGGAGGAGAAAGGAGGAAAAAAATAAAGGAGGAAAAAGCGGGATTTAAAAGTGGGAGGAAAAGTGGGATTTATGGAGAGCTGCGAGTCCCAGCAGCGCGTCGGGCACGGCCCCTCGGCACCGTGCGCCCTGCGAGGACGGGAAGGAAACGCACGGCCACAGCCGGAGCCAACCTGCGGAGAGGAGCGGGCGGCACGGCGGCGGAGGAAGGGAGGAAGGGAGGGGGCTGCTTCCTTCCCGCAGCCCCACCAGGAGCACCCCTGGAGCAGGAAGCAGGCGGGGGGCAGCCCCGCTCGCATGCAGCACGGCGCTCGCAGCGAGGCTCTCGGGGGACAGCCAAGACGCAGCACAGAGGAGAGAGCAGAGAGCGAGCGGCTAAACAGCTTGAACGACTGAATTCGGCAAAGCTGTTTAAACAGAAACCGGGCAGGCTTGCAAAATGAGCACAGGCATGTGGCATGGAGGGGCTGTTTGGGCCCTGGTCATGGAGGGATGGAGAAATTAAAAAAAAAAATGGCATGGCAATGCAGGCTGTGATGGGCAGCGCACAGGCACGGCAGCCGAAAAAGACACCGAGGCCCAGCTCAATGCAATAAATAAAACTTTTATTCAAACAATAACTCAGTACAGGGCACATTTTTCTCTCTGGCTTTTAAAAAAGGTTTCAGCACTTTACAGTCTCCATACAAGTGTTACTAGGGTGGTTTTTTTTTTTTTTTTTTTTTTCCCCCCTCGACATTCAGTCACTCGGCATGAAATATCCTGGGTTAAAAATCTTTAGCAAAATTATGACATCGCTGCGGGAGGGGCTCGGCACGGTATGCCCATAGTCTGGTATAGAAAACAAAAACTTGTCCGTGGGTATTGCCAGCAATGTCCTCGTAAACAGGCATGTCAGAGGTTTTAAAAATCACATCAGAAAAAAAGGAAAGCGTGGAGAGCTCTGCAGCGCAGACGGGCGCTGGCGGTGCCGGCAGCCCCAGCCCCAGCTCTGGGACGGACACACAGACACGGCCGAGCCGCGCGGGGCTGCGAGCACGTCCCGGGACCCCCGCACTAAGGTGAGGTAACAATACCTTGCTACAAAAAAATAGAGATATTTATAAAACAACAAGGAGGAACCCCTCGGGGGCTGCCGGCCGCCCCAGCGGAGAACCAGCCGTTCCCCGCGGCCGGGGGCTCGGTGCCATCCGCTTCTCCTAACGCAGCCCTCACGGGGCTCGGTTGGGGGGGAAGCGGATCCGAGGGGCAGGGGGGGACCCGTGCCCACCTCGTGGCCAGCCCCGGGGCTGCCCCGTAACAGTACGTACACCAGAGGCCATGCATTGTGGGCTCCGTTCCGGGGAGCTCTGCCCGCGCACCGCGGCGTGCGAAAAGCCCCGGAGGAGGGATTAGTGCATCTCTAACATTCACAAAGTAGTACAAAAACTGGGTCCCACTAAAAGTGTAAACTGCATCCAGGCTGCTTCAAAGCGAGCACAGACCGATCGGCAGTTTCTGCTCTGAAAAGGCTTCAGAAACAAGGGCACTGTGAACACCGGGGAGGGGTGGAGAAGCACCATGGTTTCCTTGAAGATCACGAGAGTTTAAAATCCGAAAGTAGAGAAAGAGAAACAGGGGGAGTGGAAAAAAAGGGGGAGAAAGAAGCAGAAAGCTCTTCCGAGCAGCGCGGTGCCGCTGCGAGCCCGGTGTCCTCACACCGTTGATACCAGACTGCTGCTGCCGCTGCGGAACAAAGCAGAGGAGGCTGCCCGAGTGCCCGGCCCAGCCGGTGCCACTCTGCTCACCACCCAAACTTTCCATTTCTATCCCAAAAACCGAGCGTGTCCTGCCCTAGTGGCTCCGGGCCAGGTGGCCCCATGGCGTGGGGCTGCCAGCACCGAGGAGGGAGCGGGGGAGCCCCGAGAGCGCCGCTGGCTGCGGCCTCGCTGCCCAGGTTTGACCCAAGAGGCGGCTGCGGAGATGTGATGCTCTCCAGAGATGCACCAACCCCATGGGGTGCGAGGTCAGGGACGGCTGGGGCTGACCCCAGGACCTGCCCTGGGTCGTGCTGTGCCCCAGCAGGATGAGCGCACATCCTCGCAAAGCCCGCTCCCGGGGACACGGCTTCACCCAGAGCCAACACCAACACCACATTTTTGGGTAACGCCGCAGGAAGGTGGAATCTTACCTGCTAACTGACCTCGTCCCGTAGTCATCGAGACCCTGCGGGGAGGAGAGGAAGAGTGGTGAGAGCTGGGCTGTGCCCCTTCAGCTGCCACCGGAGGGTCACGGGAACAGCCCAAAGCGCATCGGTGCCCGGGGATGCTTGGGCCAAGACCAATGCGTTTTGGGATGAAAAGGAGATGGAGATGGCTTAAATGGGATTTAGACAGCAGGGTAAAGTCACACCACTCTTTGGAGCAGGACAAGGGAAAGCAGCAGCCGAGCGTCCCGGCTCGCTCTGCCCTGCCCCACCTTGGCTCAAAGCTCCAGTGACTTTCGAGATGCGAGACACTTGGAAAGGGAGCAAAACTCTGAGAAACACCAAGGAAATGCTCTGTGGAAGAAGGTGTTTGTGCTGTATTAACTGCCACCAGAAATCGCACAGGGTTTTGGACCGTTTTCCCCTTCAGCTGGCGCTCAGTCTGGGACGTGTGGGAACAGGGCTGGGAGGTGATCCCGTGAGGATGCTGAGCTCCAGATGAGGACGTGCCCCGGGGTCTGGCTGTGAGCAGCTCAGCTCCCTGTGGCAAACGGGATCCTGACAGGAAGGACCCGGAGCTGCTGCTCGTGTTCCCACTGCCCTGGGAATGCTCCTGAAACCCCAAATCCATCAGCAAAACCTGCCTGGCTTCCCCTGGCATGGAGTGGGGCTGTGTTTGTCCCGTCCCTGCAGAGACAGCCGGGCTATGCTGCCCTCATCACCATGCACCACCCCTAACTCCTTATCCAGAAGCCCTGTGCTGGGTTTGGACACTGCTGGTGGGGGAAACCCCGGCCAGGTCTGCCCCAACCCCATGCCCCAGGTCCCCGTGGGACTGTCACCGGTGTCCAGTGGCACTCGTGTCCCTGGAGCCACCAACTGAGCCAGCACGGCCAGGAGAAAACGCTTCCAGCTCCCTGTGAGAGGCTCGTTTCTGGTGGGAGGCTCCCACGGAGTTGGCAAGTGTTGGCCATTGGGGGCTCGCGGTGCCGTTTTGTGCCATCGCCCCTCGTGTCCTGCCCCGTTCTGTGCAGGTGAGCCCAACTGGCCCATCCTTTGTCCCTACCTCCTCTCCTGCCACTTTCCCATCCCCTTCTCTTCCAGGGGAGAGGCTCAGAAGGGGCTGGGCACGAGGGGGCCAGGCGCAAGCTGCCCGCCAGCCCCAATGGCAACCTTGCGCACGTGCGGACTTACAGCTGTCGACCTAGCGTAAGGCTTGTAGTGGGCGGAGGGTGGTTGGCAGAGGCCACTGGAATAGTCTTTAATTGCACAACCATAGGGCATAAGGTAGTCCTACAAACAACGAACACAGGCCTGTTGGAGAGGAGCCCCCATTCACCGCCACGCGCTCTGCACCACGCGCGCGCTTCGACGCCTTTCCTTCTGCTTTAAAACCACGGCTAGGAACAAAAAGCTGCAGGCTCCAGCAGAGATCAAGGCTCTGGGGCTCGCTCAAACGCCTCCCATTTTTAAAAAAATCCCCCCCCCCAGCACTGGCAAAGCCCTGCAGGCAGTCAGGGCTCACCTGGGAGAAGGCGGGCACGGCCACGCTGTACGGCCTCTGCTTGAAGGTGTTGACGTTCTGCGACGGGAAGGCTTGCGAGGACATGCCGTAATCGGGTGGAGGGATGGCGATGTCGTCTTTGTCGAGCAGGTTGCCCGTGCTGCTGCTCTTCCCCTGCTGCAGGCTGAAGGGGAGCAGAGCAGGGGCCATCAGCAGCAGCACAGCCCACGGGGGATGTGTCACCGAGCCACCTTGGCCAGCAAGCCCTCGGTGGCACCGAGCAGCACCGCGGATGAGGGCGAAATGCACGGAGCCCTTCATGGGGATCCCTTCCCTCCCTGCTCCCCTTTGCTCCCCCATGTGGGGGGCAAAGCAAAATATCCCTGTTCCGAGGCAGCACCCTGCTCTGATGAGGGCTCTCTGGAGGGTAAAACAGTGGAGGGTCCCCATCCTGCAAAGCCCCCGCAGCCCTGCCCTGGTGCTGGCACGCGGTGCTCCTACCTCGTGTGCACCCGCTCACTGCCATCGTTGTCGAGGACACGCGTGTAGGAGAAAGGAAACCAGCCCCTCCTGAAAGCAAAAGGCAGGGGATGAAGCCAACCTGACGATTTTGATGGAGGTGTCAGAAAAGGCTGAGCCCTCCTGGAGCCAGCCCCGGGGGGTTCGGGGTGGCCGCGGCACTCACAGTTTGGTTTTCTCGCTCTCCCCGTAGTGCCAGCCATCCCTGGCCTCCGGCACCAGCAGCGTGATGAGGTCGCCCTCCTTGAAGCTCAGGAGGGTGCTGTTATCTCCGGCAGCGTGAGAGAAAATGGCCTGCACCCTCGTCCTGCCGTTCCTCTCGAGCCCTGCGGCCATGGAGCTGGAGCGCGGCAGCGTCTTGTTTTCGGCTGGCAGGAGACAAGGACCAACAAGGGCCGAGTCCTTCACCCGTCACCGTGCCCAGGCACAGCCAGGTCTCTGGCTCCCTTACCCTACCCCCCAACACTTCTGGTGGCTGATTTGCACCCCTGACACCTCTCTGCACAACGGCTGCCTGCTCCCCAAGGGTGTACGCACATCGCCCACCCCTCTCCAGCATCCCCCACGTCCCTTCTGCCTGCCTCCACCCGCGGCACCGAAGCCATCCCACAGGGTTTTGGGCTCTCACCACATGGGGCAGCTTGCCCCAGTCCCTCGGGACCTCACAGATCCATGGATCCAGGCAGGATCCAGCCGCTGTTCTTGGCATCATCCAACAGCCCCATAAAGGAGCAGCCTCCCTGTACGAGCATTCCCTGCCCGCTCTCCTTCCTAATTTCTCAACATTTTCCTCCTGGAAATCCCACCCGGGGGCCGAGACACCGCTCTCCAGTGAGCTGTGCCAGAGCCTGGCTCTGCTCAGCTCCCGGCACCACGGCAGTGGCACCCTGCTCGTCACCACCCTGCCGCTAATGAAGGGACCCCACCGCTAACGAAGGGACCCTGCCACCCATCGGGGTGACCCCCCGGGGCTGGGGGAGCCTCACCTGAGGCGTAGCTGTTTTTCGGCTGCACGTTTTTGCGAACTGGAAGCGTGTTCGAGTAAGAGTCGCTCAGCTGCTTCTGAGGCTGGGGAGGAGATAAAGATTTGGGCTGTGCTGGCTTCACCTCAGCCCAGTGGCTGTAATCGTCACTGTCTGTGCCCGAGGCTCCGTTCACCACCGGCATGGCCTCCTGCGCCGACATGCGCTAGGGAGAAAGGAGAGGAGGGGGGGGAAGACGGGAGATGCCTTCAGCAGCAGGGCACCCCCAGCAGCTCCCCGGGCAGGGACGCGGTGCCAGGGAACGCGGCTGACTGGCAGACCAGAGCCCAAGCCCCCATTGGATTCGGTTCCCTACCTGATATAAACTCTTCTGGGGAAGGGAGCGGGGCCACCTCTACGGCACTGCACCCCTCCGAGCCGCCTCACACCCCACAAATCCCTCCCAAACCCTACTGCTCAGCTCACACCCCGACATCGGGCAGGTGACCCCCTTCCGAAGGGTGTTTCCACCACGCGAGGCTCACCCCAAGCACCTTTCCCCCAAGGGTGCCTTGGCACGGCCCCACAGCTCCAGCCCCAGCCCGTGGGCTCCCCGCAGCCCCCCGACAGCCCCAGGCAGGATGGAGGTGCCCAGCCCCATGCACCCATCCATCCAAAAGCAACTTGCTGAGGACCACGGTGCCGCTGGCCTGGGCTCATCCCTCCGGCTTTGCTCGGAAGGGCAGGGCAACCTCCACCTCCCGGATACTTACTCCGACAAAAGGTGCCAGCTCCGGGGGGACAGGGAGAGGTTTGGCACCGGGGATGGGGTCAGAGATGATGAGGTTGGACTTGGATGTAGACAGAGGGCTGGGCATGATGGTGCCATTGCTGCTGGCAGCCATCTGCTGCATCAGCTGGATGGCGCGGTCCGGGATCTTGTTGGGATCGGAGCAGGACTGCTGCCACAGGGGGAGCTTCTGCGTCAGCATCTCCTTCCCCTGCCACGGAGAGAGCGAGGTGAGAGGGTGCAGGGAGACAAGGTGAGAGGGTGCAGGGAGCCACGGCAGGGAAGGATTTGATGAGAGAGCGGCCACATTTGGGCAGCACGACTGATGCGCTCCTCCACGCAGGGCACAAACAAGGTGGAACACAGGGATTTGCTGCTTCTGGGCTCCAAAAATTTAAGAAATCACTCTGATCACAAAAAAATATAGAGGGAAGGGGGAGGTAACTCCATCCCCAGCTGACTGAGATCCCCTGTGTGCGGCAGCTCGAGAACAGACGAGCTGCAGGGAGCTGTGCAAGAAGCCAGTGGCCATGCAAGGCACCTCTGTGCCCACGGTCCCGTTCCCCACCAGTAAAACCCTAATAAAGCTGCGGGTCGGGAGGCCCAGGGACACTCACGTCACAAGCCACAGGGACACGTCAAGGTGGCAGATGCCCGTGACACCTTTCCTGCACACGGAGGTGGGAAGATCACACCCGTGCTGTGTGCTGGCACCCAGACCCCAGAGATGAGCTTTTTGCTTGGGGCTGCTCAGCCCCGACAGCCTCCAGGGCTGCTGTAGGGCATGGGGCAGCTCGGCACGCTGCTCCCAGCCAGGCAGAGGCTGTGCTGGCCTCATCCCTACCCGGATAACACAACCGTGGCTCAGGACAGCACATCCCAGCTTGAGACTCCCTGGGAGCAGATGTCCAAAGCCACGCCGCGGTCACTCCCCAGACAAACGCACGGCACAGCCCCCATGCAACGCACCGCATGCACACCCGCAGCAGAGCTGAGCTGCAGGGGGGGGACTTTACACCTCCACACGGCTTTGTGGCTGCTCTCACAGACAGGATCGACCCAGACATATCACAACAGGCTCCCGAAGCCAGTGCAGAATCCCCAAGTTTCCCTGCCATCCACCACGGACCTCGCTGCTCGGGCACCTGCGGCGGCACCCGGGCAGGGTGGCAGCACCCAGGCAGGGTGGCAGCACCCAGGCAGGGTGGCAGCGCGGTGTTTCCAGCTCTCAAAGCCCACGTGTGGGATCTGGTGCCCATTCTGCACCCACACAGCCCCCCCCTTGCACAGCCGCCCTCCCTGCCCTGCTGCAGGGAGCGTTGGGCTTGGCCACGCTGCGGCCACGCCGGTGCCGGTGCCACCGCATCTGCCAGCCCCCACCCGCTCCAGGGGGCATTTCTCCCTCCTCCTGCACCTCTCGTTTGCAGTCTGCATGTGCTGGGGATTGATTCAGCCCCTACCACAGCCGGGGACAGTGCTGACTAAGCCCAACTCTTCCCGTTGCTCCCCTGCGCCAGGCGTGGTGGCGACAGATGGGTGCTGCGAGTGCCAGGGGGGCGGCAGCGGGGAGCGAGCAGGAGGGGAGCACGAGGCTGCCGGGAGCCACGCGCTCACAGCCCTCAGATGGGCTCAGCTCCAGCCCGGTGTCACAGCACCCCGGGGGAATGGGGACCCAGCCCCGTGCAGGGGATGTGGGTGGGTGATTGGGGCAGCGCTCTCGGCTCCGTTTCCTCCTCCTCTGCTATGGGCAGGGGGTGATGAGGGTGGGAGGGAGCCCTCCCTGATGCCCCACAGGCACCAGTTCTGCTCGGACTTGGAGCAGGAACGCTGCTGCTCGGCATTTCTTCTGCTTCTACAAACCTGGAGCTGATGCACAAGCAACTGGGTGAGCCCCCACCAGGGTGAAGCCCTCAAACTTCAGTGACCGAGTGCCTGATGGGCACAACGTGCGCAGGAGGGGGTGCGTGGGGGGCTGAATCTGGGTGACCTCCCCGAGGTCAGGCCATGGCTGGTGCTGCCCAGGAGAAGGCAGAGAGCAGCAGGACACCCTGCGGGGCTCCAGCCCTGGTCCCATCCACCCCACGCAGCCTGAAGCTGCCTCAAAGCACAGAGCAGCACCCCTGGGAGACGCACCCATCGGAGTGAGGGCAGCTCCGAGCAAGTGGGGAGGGAGGGGGGCACTGCTGGTGCATCCCCCCCCTTGTGCTCGCTGCTCCCCCAGCCCCAGGGCACCCGTGGCTCTCAGGGCACGGCCCTGCTCCTGTGCTAGGAGCTGGTGATGGGGGCTGTTTGGGGAGCAGGGGGGGCCCCGTTGACTCACCTTGGCGTGGTAGGTGATGGCGCTCTTCGCCACCGCGCACTGCTTCTCCACCAGGAAGCAGAACCGTCTCCTCTCCTCCGTCAGAGCCGTCTTATACCCGTCCGAGACGTAGTTTTCCAGCTCCCCTTGCTTGTTGCTGATGGCTTCGATGTACTAGAGGGGGCAGAGAAGCACAGAGGGGGCTGCGGTTTCCCCTTCGCCCTGCGAGCGCCCACAGCCCCGTTAGCAGGGGACGAGACCCGCAGCATCCCGAGGGATGGGGTGAGCGGTGGGGCCAGCCCTGGGGGGTGCCTGTGGGAGGCCCCCAGCACAGGACACACACACACGTGTGCCTGCACGTCCCCCCCAGCCCGCCCTTACTCATCAGAGCCCCCCCACGCAGAGGCGCTGACTCAGCACGGGGGCCGGGAGCGCGCGGGCGGGCGGGACGAGCTGTACCCGTGCAGCCGCCCTCTCACCAAACGGGTGCCTGAGCCCCAGCGGGGGCTGGCGAGGCTGCCCCCAGGCTTCCCCCCCAATCCCAAGCTAGCAGAAGGTTCCTGCAGCCCCCACCCATCTCCTGCACCCCCCTGGGACAGCCTGGGTAAGCAAAGCACACGAAGCCAGGGCAGCGCTGCAGGTTGGCACAGCCTGGCGCACGGCATCACCCCCGGCACACGGGACCAGCACAGGGCTCCCTGCCTGCTGAGCACCGTTCCTTGATGCTGGTGCACCCCCGGGGGCCAGGCAGACACCAGAGCACCGCCAGCAGCAGGCTGAGATGCTGCAGACGTGGCAGAAGGAGGCTCCTCTGCTGGCACGGCTCCTGCTCTACCTACGTGACTTCTGCCAGCTCGGCTGCGCCCGCACAGGCTGTGCCAGCAGGAACAGGGCACGTTCGTGTAGGTTTTTGTAGGGAGCAGGAAAGCAGCACGTGGGGCAGAGCCACGCAGTGCAAGCACAGGCACAAGGGAGGGCTTCAGAGCAGCAGGGTGCCCTCCATGGTCACATCCACCAGCACACCAGAGGACACGAGATGTCCCCATCTCCCTCAACCAGCCTCTTCCTCCCCACTCCCTGCCCTTGGTTTGTCTCAGCAAGGAGCTGCCGCCCTTGAAGTGGTCCAGAAGCAACCACCGAGCATCCCTGAGGAGCATCGTGCTCACCACGAGCTGTGCCCTGCCCTGCATGGAGCAGGCAGGACACCAGCACCTCGTAGGGTGACACCACGGGACAGCCACGAGCAGCCCCGTGCAGCTCCAGCACTGCTCAACCTGCTGCAGGAAGTCTGAGCTTCCCTGGGAAGGGAATTAAACTGGAAATTCAGGGCCCAAAGCAGCTTTTCTCCTTTCTTCATGTTTAACAGTTATTTTTAGCAAGCTACGGTATTTATTAGCAGGCACAAAATGGAACAAACCTCAACAAAGCCGTGAGATTAAGTCACAGCCCGGACTTCAAAGGGGGTTTGCGGCAGAGCCGGAGTCCCAGCGCCCCACACGCACAGCACCCTCCCTGGAGAGCAAACCCCCAACCTAAACCGAGCCGGTTTAATTCCCTAAATGGGCCATCAAGGAAGGTGAGGAGCTCAGGACGGGCGCACAGCACCCTGCCACGCCAGGCGGGCAGAACTTCTCCCAGCAACGGTAAACTTTCAAGTTCTAATTGTGACCGAATCGAGCACGGCGGTCTTATTTACATCCCTGATTTCAATCTTGTTTCGCAAGTATACTTTTAATTATTTAGCTAAGGAAAGGCTCGCCTTAATGGCTGCAGCCAGTTAGAACATGTTGATTTGCAAGCAGAGAGCTTGCGCTCTAAATTTAGGATTCTCACTGCTTTATATACTTTATGGAAATAAGCACGATGTGCCGCTGATTTATGCAGAGCCCTGGTTTTTACACTTTATTACATTACAAAATGGCGAACGCCACCTCTTATTCACCAGCTAGCTTTCATTTTGGAGTTGTTCAAATGGAAATGGGCTTTCAGACAATGCACTGAAACACAATTCCAATAAAAACCTCACTAACTGTGCCAGACGCATGGGAAAAAGTAATATGCAGAGCACAACGCACACTCTCCCCACCATACGTCAAGGAGAGCGCTGTCTCTTGTTAGGGTTACCTGCTGCCACGTGCAGGAGCGACAGCTCTGCCTCCCAGCCTGGTTCCTGGGGTGTCCTTTGGGGCACCCCATGTCCCATGTCCCATCTGTGCGTTTTGCAGCTGGAGGTGTGCGCCTGGGCTCCTGCAGCGCAGCGGCACCACCACCACTTCCCAACAGGAGCCTGCCAGCATGCGCCTTTCCAGTTTGGAGTTCGTTTCAGAGCTTGATTTAGGCTGCCAGATGAAATTCAGATGCTAAGCATCACCTAAATAAAAATCCCAGCATAAAGGGGAGAAGCCCCACCTGTGGCCGGGCCACCTGAGATGGTGCCAGCCCGGTCAGTGCTCACGGTGCCGGGAGCCAGCGTGTGCACCAGCAGCTCCAGAAAAGCTTTTCTGGGTTTCTAGGTTGGAGAGGCCTTAAATAACCCCCCCTTCCCCCACTCCTGAGCACATCCACCTCGTCTTCAGCAGCTCTGCTGACCCAGTTAGCGAGGTGGCAGGAGCCAGCTCCTGGGGCTCACCCAGCTGCCCAGGGCAGAGAGCGGGGCGCAGGGCACGGGTCCAGCCAGCAGCACCACAAAGGGGCCGTGCACGGGAGCTGCTCCCAGTTACCCCCACACGTCAGGCACTTTGGAACAAGGAAACACAAAAGGAGAGCAGATGCTGCGAAGGGACCCAGCCGCTGCCATCGCTGCTGCAGGAAAGCCAGGGCGCAGCGAGGTCCCGCTGCTCGGACTAACAGCATCCTCACAGCCGACAGCTGGAGGTGTGAAGGTGAAAGGGCTGCTAACAGATGTCAGGACCCGGGTTCTCTTCAAGCACACGCTGCAATCGGTGCTGGTAGTGCAGGCGAAGCAGCAGCATTTACTGAATTTCGCTCGAGTCTCTAATAACACGGCTGTGATGAAGGAAATTAGCTCCAACCATTCCATCCGAGGCAAGAACACGAAGATCAGTTATGAATATAAGCCAAGGGCAATGCTAATCACCTCAGCGCTGAGAAAATCACCATTACAGATCTTTTATCAGCGCTGCCAATGTCTGTGAAATGGGCTGAGTGAGGGAACTGCTGCGAGGCCAACGGGGACCAAACCAAGCGGGAGCCAGGCTCTGCTTAGGGCACGGCAAAAAACCCAGGGACCACAAAGTCAAAGCACTACGGGCACGTTTCGGGGCAGTGAGTGGTCCTGAGCTGAATGCAGAGCAGGGAGGGGACCGTGTCCTCGTGGTATCCCAGACAAGAGCCTGATTTTGGGGACGAGAAGAGAGCAGAGCAGCAGGGAGAAAAGGCTGAGGGAAGAGGAGAAGGGAGAGGAGCCTGCAAGCTGTGCTGGCCTGATAGGGGCAGGCTGGAACATCCAACAGAAGTAAACACGAGAAATGGGGATTTATTTAAGGAACCACAAGGGAGAATAATTAGAAAGTAATGAGATAAAATAGGAAAGGAGCTAGGCTGATTAACAGAGGAAGAGCTTCTAAGCTGCCACAGCCCCAAGGAGGAGCAGCTCGAGCCCTAGCACAGCCCAGGGTCAAAGTTGAGAAGAGCTCTGGGGGTGCTCAGCCCCCCCGGCTCCTGGGGAGGGAAACGGGTTCCCTTTGTCTCCAGAATTTGGTTCCTGCATGGAGTTAAGCTCCTTGGCCTGGGTTTATGCAGAGCTGGGTAAAACCTGCGTCCAGCCGTGCCCCGCAGTGCAGGACGCGTGCCAGCCCCTCTGCAGGCTGCAACACCTCAGGCAGGGGTCGGCCTCGCATTGCACGCTGTGCTCAAAGCTGCTGCCTCGAAACAAGGCAGGAAAAGCACTCAGGGGTACGTGGCATCAGGGTACACGGCATCCCTGAAACAGCTCAAACCCCTCCTCGCTGGGGGAGCTCACTGCTCCCATCCCAGACTCAGCCCCACGCTGGCTCCCAGCTGGGGAGCTGCTGTAAAACAGCTGCTCCCGTGCCCCAAAGAGCCCGCAGACCTCTTCCAAAGAGAGAGAAAATGTTTTTTCCCTATGAGAAGCAGCTCGCTGGGCGAGCAGATGCCCAGAGAGCCACGGCATCAGCGGTTATCCGAGGTGAAACACGAGGCCAAGAAGCGCCCCGCTGCCCAGCCACCGGCCTCCTGCCCCTCTCCCCGAGGCACGGTGTCCTCCCCCATTTCTCTTTCTATCTCACATCTGTTCCGCGGGGCAGCAGCCTCATCCTTCTACTATTCCTGTACAGCTCTGCACACGTGGTGTTACATAAAACGTTCAGGGAACGAGCTGTGAGAGCCTCAGCAGGGCTGTGCAGAGCTTCGCCAGCCGCCTGCGAACGTCCCCGCAGCCTGGGGACACCGCAGGGCAAGCCCCTGGTGTGTGGGATCTGTGTCCAAAACGCACGGCGGGCACGGCCCCAAAGCTGCACGTTGGGCTGGGAGATCAGCCTGCCAGAAGCAGCATGAGGCTTCTCAGCCAGAGAGGAAAAAAAATAAAAAATAAAGGTTTAACTTCATTTATATAGAAAACCACTCGGTTGAGGGGAGTTGTAGCAATTGCTTTAGGATGTGTAGGACCAGATCTTGAAGCCTCGGGGCTCCAGGGGGTTCTCCCACCAGGTCCTGAGCTGCAGGGAGGTGAAGCTGCTGGGCTGTATGGAGCACACGTGGGTAACCGCTGCGTTGGGACTCAGCCTCGCCGGGCTGAAAGCTGGCGAAAAGCTGGAGCCGGTTATCTGGAGCCAGAGCTTTTACATAATTCTTCCCTATTTGACTTTTACATAAGCCCTCGTAACCTGGTTTGCACAAACTCCTCGTCAGTTAGTGCTTCTTGACCTATGGCTAAAAATTACTTCTCCTGGTGGGAATATCAGAACGAGGTTCCAATTACACAAGTTTATAAAAACCTCTGGGCTATTTGGCACAGGGGGCGTTTAACGCTTGCAGCATCCCTGCAGGAGCAGGGGGGGACGGCAGGGGGGACGCAGGCAGGAGCCGAGCTCGGCCACGTGCCCCCCGTGTTACCCCAACACTGGGCACTGTGCCCTCCTCTCCCCCCCAAAAAAATAAATGCAATTGCTCCACCGGCCTCACCAAGCAATCCAATTGCTCGCAGCACTACCAGGGGGTGAGGAACTGCTCGGGCCAGCGCAGCTCCCTCGGTGGTGCACTGATTCAATCAAGGCCCTAAACCCAGCGTGACCTCGATTTTGTGCCTCAGCCGTAACCAGCGTGTAATGAAGTTACAGCAGTTTGGGCTCCTTGATGACTGTTTCATCTGAATATTTGTTTTTGTTCTTCTTTATAAGGGACACGAAGTGAACGGAATTGGTTTCTTCTCCCGGATTTGAACACAGGTCAAGAAAATCTCAGCAACTCCATAATTAGGGCAAGAGATCTGAGGCAGCGGCTGCCTCGCTGCGGTCCCGGCTTTCATTCCTCGTGTACAACAGCAGCTCTGGACTGATTCACGAGAAATAAACCCCTGGCTTTTACTGCCACATTCAGCAGTAACAGCCCGTAACCGCAGCGTCTGCTGACCATGACAGGCTGAAAAAATCCCCACAGCAGCCAAATTGCGCTTAGGGCTGCTTTTAAGGCACAGGAGTGGTCTTCCTTGAAAACCACCAGGGGTTTTTGGTTCGGAACCATCTCAGTGCTGTGATGAAGCCCCTTCTCATGGATTAAGCTCCACCAGGCAGTGCCTGCAGGACACGGGCACAATGTGGGACCTGGGGCCAAGCCCCGTGCCCTCTCCACGCACCACGTTCACTGCCCCGAGCAATCCCCAGCTCTGTCCTCTAGATAATAAGCAACATGCAGCACCTTTTCCTGCCTTATAAAGGGGGAAAATCTGCTTTGAAAAGGGAGAGGAGACAATCCAAGGCTTTTATTTTTTTTAAGCAGCTCAGCACAGGCTGCAGCACCCGTGCCAGGTTGGCGCCCTGGCACCACTTCTCTGCCCCCTGCCCCAAAAGCCCTGACCTCGCAGGAGGAGCTGGATGCTGGAGCTGCCACGTGGGGCTGGCCCCACCACATCCCTCGCAGCAGGGCACAAGCCGTGGTCACTCAGCAAGCAGCAGTGAGGCGGAGGGGAGCAGTTCTGCTTCCCACAGCAGGAAGCGCAGGGACGATGACGGAGCGCCAGCCTCCCGGCTGCTGAGTGCTCCGGTACCTTAAGTGGATGAGTCTTCAAAGGAAGAGCAAGATTTTATTGCTTTATTGAATGGGATGACTTATGCAGCTACCAGGATGTTTCTGCCAGCAGCACCTCTCCCACTCCAGGCCAAGGCAATGCTCAGAGCTGCATTCGGGGAGCTCCAGCTGGCTCTGCCCAAGCTCCCCAGGCACCAGCTCAAAGCTGACTCCAGCATCCCACGAGCCCAGGAGGTGCCTCCAGCAGCCTCCGAGGAGGCTCCTCCTGGCTGAGCTTCAGCACTGGCCACGGGGCTGGTTCCGTGCCAGGCAAACAAAGCCGCACACAACTCCCTGCTGCAGAGATCCTGGAGAAGTTTTTACGCAGCACGACCCCACGCTGCGACACGAGCGGCTCCCCCAGCACCAGAGCTGCTGCAAGCGCCTGGCCCCAGCTCCTCCTGCTTCCCCTGCCCCAGCACATGGCATTTTCCAAGCCCCAGCACTCGGCATTTCCCCTGCCCAGCCTGCACATCGCTCCCTGGATCAGTGGCACGGCCAAGCCCCCGCACGGGCAGGAGCCGACGGAGCTGCCAAAAACCCAGAAACAGGCTCAAGGCTGCCCCGAACACTTTCCTCCTTCCTCCTCTTCTGCATCCCAGCCAGCACACTGAGGGAGAACCCCCCTCTTGACTGAATTCTGCAAATTAACTTATTTTGATCCGCGAGCTGGTAGGGGGGGCGGTGGAAGCGGTTGAGCAGTTTCATGGCTCTTTAAGCTAAAGCTCTTCATGAGGCTTTTTTTTTTTTTTTTTTTTTTTTGCAGAGATAAGCGCTTCCTAAATACTTACTGCTGAAAGATTAAGAGAATGAAAGCCTGATCCTGTTTTTCTTTGCCCAAAGAAGCGGTGCAGGCACAACGACAGCCCTGCTGCTGCCGTGCCATGGCAGGAGCAAACCATCACCATCACCCCTGGGCTGTACGCAGCTGGGGCAGGTTCTCTCCTACACGGGGGGATCCCTGTGGAAACACGGCTGGGAGCCACCTCGTTGCTTAACGGGTACAATCTCCCTCCGTGGAGATGTGGAGCAACAGATTGCAGAGCCGCCGCCACCCCGGAGTGGTTTGAGCTGCTCAGCTTTCAAGAAAGTGCCAGCCTTCGCCGCAGCACGCAGGACACCTAAATCACACTGCAGCAACACCTTCTGAGGATGCTCAAATTAAGCGTGCCTCACACAAGCGGCTTCGGTACAGTCAGCGGAGCTGGGAGGCTGCAAATTAGCAGGAGCTCGATTCAGAGCACTCCAGCTCAGCACAGGAGCTGCGCTCAGAGCCTGGATGAGTGGTGAGATGTTTTTTTTTTTTTCCCCCCCTTTCAGCGATTATCCTGATTCACGCTACCAGGAGAGTGACTGATTCCCCAAATTTTGGTACAATTAGCAATGTCACTTCCCCAGCTCCCTGCTGATTATTTAAATGCCACCCTGTGCACAGCCCCAGCCGGCGAGGTGCCATCGGCGTTCAGATCACTTTTGGCAGAGATGGATCACTTTGGTCGTGTTATCAGCCCGCTGCACCTGAAGCATCAGGTTCTGGTCCCAACACGCCACCTTCTCACGCCTTGCTTACAGACAGGAAGATGAGATTTTTGGCTTCAGAGTTAACCTTTCCCTTTTACCTACGAGGTACGAGTTGGGCTGTGGTCACTGAATGCCCCTAACCCCAGCAGCAGCAGCAGCACTGAGCCAGGCAGGTTTGCAAACGGATGCATTAATTTCTCATTAAAATCTGCTCTGTTTGGACACGATCCATGTGCAACTCAGACCACAGGTCAGACTTCAGGAGACCTGAACTCATCCCGCACATACCTCAGCAACCCTGCGCCGCAGCCCCCCACCACGACCCAGGCAGGGGCTGCGCATGGGATGCTCCACAACAAGACCTCGGTCCCGACCCGATCCCTGCCATGAGCCTGCAGTGGGGGCCACCAGGGACCCGGTGCAGCCCAGCCCGAGCTCCCGCAGCAGGCGCAGGGCGCACGCAGCCCACGCCGCAGTCACGCTGCCGTGATTCACTCGCCAGCCTCCTCCAGCACGCGCTCGCCACCCGGGCGGGCTGGGGGAAGGGACTCCCCGTCAGAAGGCACAGAAAATATTTAAGCAAAACACCATCCAGAGGAAGATGGATCTGGCACAACAAACTAATGATCTTTTCGGGTTCATTCATTAAGCAGAGGGGGGGATAAGAGAGCCAGCCACGGCGGGCTCGGTGGGGTTAGTCACCAGCGCACCGCCCTGCACGGTACCTGCTGGGGGCTGAGCTCTGGCACAGCCCGGGCTGCCTCCCCCACCAGCCCCTCTGCTCTAAAACCTCCTGCACGATCCACCACGGGCACCAACACCTCCCTGCCCGCTCCTCCTGTCGTTATCCAAACGCTGGCACGCGGCACGGAGCAGCAGCTCCTACCTGCAGCTCCTTGTCCGAGTACTTCTGGGGGTTTTTGCTTCCTTGGCTCTTCTTGCGGAGTTTCTTCAGCTCTGCCTGGCACTTGTCGAGCGAGTCGCCCTTGCTCCTTTGCTCTGTCTGGTATTTCTTCAGCGCAGCCTGGGGGCGAGAGGAAAAGGCTCTGAGCTGCTGGAGTGCTGCTGCCAGGGGCAGGCGCACGGCCACCAGGACACAGGGAGAGAACAAGCGGGGCTGTGGCAGCCTAACACCGGGGGAAAAAAACAGCAGTTTGTGTGGGTGACACATCTGGTGGCCTGGGGACCCCTCGGAGCATGGCACAGCCGTGCCCTGTGCAGGGCAGGGAGGAGCAGGAGCAAACCAGCGGGTCACTTACGCTCAGGTAGCGCGAGTCCAGCTCCACCTTCTGCTCCAGCTGCGTCAGGAGCTCGTTGTGGAAGGACTTGAGCTGCAGAGAAAAAAAAGCAGAGGGGCTGTTTGAGTGGGCTGCTGAGCCCAGAAGTAGCTGACCGCTCCCCAAAACCCCTGCAATGGGAACCGAGGGGGCCCAGGGAGGTGCACAAAGAGGGGGCTGGGGCTGGAGGGGATGCTGCTGGCAGAGGGATGGACAGAGGGACCTGGCAGGACACTGCTCAGCCACAACGCCAGCAGCTTGGCTTTGATATGAGCAAACTCTGTGCACGAGCAGATCCACGTGGGGCTGGCTGAGATCAGATCTGGGGGCTCGGAGGAGCTGGGAGGGGGTTGCTGAGCCCAGGCTGAGGAGCAGCCCCCGTGCTGCAGCACCGACGCGCGCTCACCATCTCCTCCAGCTGGTTCTGGATCTGCCGGTGGACTTCTGCCATCTGGAAGAGCACGTCTCCTGGAAAGACAAAACGTGGGAGGGGGGCTCGAGGTGCTGAGCTGAGGGACACCCCCGGTCTGGGGGCACCCCACTGGTGGGAAGGGGTCTGCAGCCAGACTGTGGGGGTCCAGGAGCGCACAGGGTACCCCTGGTGCCCACCACCTCCCAGCCAAAGCAGAGACATTTCAGACTCTTGGACAAACATTTGTCTCCTGTAGCACTGGGGAAATGGAAGGAGGACGTGCAGCAGCCTGGCCCTAATACACAACACCCCCAGCCCCAATGGCCAAGCCACAACACCCAGGGCTGCAATCCCAGCCCCAGTCCCTGCCCTGCCACCCCCATCCCCAGGCTGGGAACGGAGCTGCAGGAGGAAGGGCTGCCCTGGCAGAGGGACCCCAGCTCGGCTTTCACTCTTCCTTGAATTTTTCTTTTCGAATGCAAGACCATCAAGCTGTGCTCCCGCCTGGCTTTTTCCTGGACAGGAAGGGCCACATCCTGCCTCAGCAAAACCCCGCGGCGGCCGGAGCCAGACGGCGGCCCCACGGAGCGTCTTTAGGAGAGGAGCCAGGGCTACTGCTCGGCTGAGAGCAGCGGCTCCAGCTCAGCTTTTAGGGAGAGCCAAGCGCCGTCAGCTGTCTGTAAAAGCCAAGCTTGGAAGCCCAAACCCCCAGCACGGCGTCTGGAGCTTCACAGGCAGTGATTTGAGAGTTTAAAGCTGCGATCTGCCGGAGCTGCGCCCACCTCGGACCCATGGTGCTGCCACCCAGAAGTGGCTGGGGGTGAGGAGCACCCAGAGCTCTCCCACCAGCAGCGTGAAACTCTGGGGCACAAAAGCAACTGGTGCGTACTGGGCCAGTCCCAGCCTGCCACTGGGTCACCCTGTCCCCAGCAGCGAGCCCCACGTGCTCGGGCACACGGGCAGCTCTCCAGCAGTGTCAACAGCGCTGGGTAACTGGGGACAGCCTGGTCCTTCGCTCCTGGGGGCTGAAGCAATTCGGACTTTGCACCCACACAGCGCGTCTCAAAACTCTCCGCAAACATTAAAATCTGAGCCCGTTGCGTCCTGGGCGGGCACCAGCCCCTCCGCTGCGTGCCCCGTGCTTTGAAAGGTGGAAAATTTGTCTCTGAAGGCTGAAGGTGCTCAGCCAGGCACAGGGAAGGAAGCGGAGCCGCCGTCCCCCTGCCCGGCCCCGCGGGGAGCAGCGATGCACAGAGCAAGGTGACACCATCCCGCTGCGCTCCCACGCCGGGGAGCTGAGCCCCGAGATGGGCGCAGCAGCGGGCAGGCAGTTAACTTTTACGGCCTCTTTGGAAGGTGCTGAACAAAGCAAAGCAGCCCACAGCGCCGAGGCGGAGCTGGCAGGGCTCTGGCAATTACGCACATCTGCGATGAATAGCTCCACGCATGAATGGGAAGGCCTGGGCAAAAGGTCACCACTACAGAGACCTCCAGGAAATTGCTCTCCGCTTGGGCTGCGGCCGCTCAATCATGGGAAGTGCACAAATTCCCACTGCAAGGGGAGCAAGAAGAATGACGTAAGGAGGGGGGCTGGGTCGAGGGTCCTTTTCCAGGAGGGTATCAGCGCATCGGTGGCCGTATTTCCAAAGCTTGTGCCATCCCCTCTCCTTTTCCCTTCCCATCTGACCAAAGCGGAGCCCCAGCTGACCACATTGGGCAGCAGAAAGGGCCAGGTGAGGGCTGGAGGAGAGCTCTGGCCACCGGTGCAGTGCAAGGAACAATCCCAGAGAAGGACACGGGGTGTTCAGAAATACCCCATGCGCCACCAGACCCAGCAGCGGGGTGCAGCAGCACCAGCACCGTGCGGCTCTGCCCCCTGCGCTCCCCTGCCTGGGGAAAAGCAGCCGGCTCCCAGCAGCAGGGGAGGTGGCTGGGACGCCTCCCAGGACACCGATAACCATCTCTGCTGATACTTTCTCTCCTCCACCATCCCCTTTGGCTGTTATCGCAGTGAGAGTGCGGGGAGTTTCAGCCCAGGCTGAAACCCACCCCACATCAAACCGGGCAGGGGCAGAGCCGTTCCCAGCTGCACCAGCACAGCGTGTCCCACTTTGAGCTGCCCCAGGTCCACCCCGGTGTGCTCCCAAGCACTGGGGTCAGTGCTGCTGTTTTCCCAGCTCAGGCATCAGGAAGCCTCAAGGGCTGTGGGGATGCAGGGAAGGAGCGCACACGGTGCTGAGCATGACACCGAGGGCAGCAGCCAGCACCCCACCGGCACGTCCCCACGGGGAACAGGTAGTGGCACGGATCCAGCCCCCAGCCCGCAGCCCTGCTCCCGTCCCAGTTTGCTGGAGGTGCAGCGGGACCTGCCCAGTGCCTGCAGCAGCTCCAGGCGAGCTCCAAGCACCCAGGCTCCGGTGCAGGAAGGCTGCTGGATGCCTGCCCGGCGTCGAGTCAGAAGGGCTTCCTCTGAGGTTCCTCCCCAGGAGGAGCCAGGGCAGCCAGTCCCGAAGAAACCCAGCCCCAGGTTTCCCATGGCAGGTTCTGTAGCCGGGAGCCCACGCAGGGCAGCGGGATTGAAGCTATCTTTGGTGCTGTGCAAAGTCTCACGCAGCACCTCCACCACCCTGCTGCCTGCGCACCACGAGCTGCCTCGCCGCTGCAGGAAGGGTACAGCCCTTGCGAGGCACAAACAGACACCTCACCCTGACACCGCTTGGACTAACGCGGCTTGGCAGCAGGGAAGAAGTTAAACTGTGACTAAGAGACACCACCGCGGCCGGGAAGCCTGAATATTTCAAGCCCTGGCTCAGAATAGGATCTGCAGCACTGCACCAGCGGCGCACGGTGCAAGGCGCTCGCGGCGGGGCCGGCGGCACCCGGGGGCTCCACGTGGCACACCCCAGCACGGGGCCGTGCCGGGAGCTCCCTCCCACGCCACGAGCTGCCAGCACCATGCACAAGGGCTGTCTGCAGCTTAAACACCGTAATTACAGCCGTGCAGCAGGCCACAGACAGGGAAATGGTGTGGGTCACACTGCAAAGAGCGCGAGCACCGGGTGAGCTCTGTGCCAAAACACACATCCTACGGGTCAAGAAACCCAAAGCAAGTGCTTCACCCGAGGTCACAGGCAAAGTCCCAGCGGGGTGGCAGGAGGGCAGTGGCGAGGGCTTTGCCCGTGCCAGGCTGGGCACAGCTCCCTGCAGGGACGGCCACGGCGGCGGCGGCAGCGCACGCACAGGGGCGAGAAGGCTGAGGAGGCAAAGGGAGCTGCTATTTACGTCTGTCTGACTCACAGTATCATTCTCGGAGAACTATAGGGGCTATTGTGGGCCCTTCCCCACCACACCCAGCGAGGAACAGCCGAACAGGTTGTTCCACATCCCTCAGATTGCAATCGGGCACCGCAAGCCCTGCAGGAGCCAGCTGCCCGGCCAGAAGGCAGAGCAGCAGGAGCCGGCTGGCAGCGTCTCGTTCCTCAGCCCTGAGCCTACCCAGCACCTTTTTCTTCGAGCTCGATGCAGGCCATTTCCAAAAAAAGCACCAAACGATGCACAGCTGCCCCGGCAGCACCCAGCAGGGATGCTCAGTTTGCTCCCAAACTGAGCAAAAAGGGAGGCAAAACCAAGGGGTCCAGGGGCTCAGCCATCCCCAGCTCTTTCCCCCCTGCTTTAAGGGGGACCAGGCAAAGCGACAGCATTGGGATGGAAGCAGCCAAGCAGGCAGAGAGGAGAATTGGTTTGTTAAGTGGGAAAAGGTGAAGGAGTTAACAGGGCAACTCGTCTGAGCGTTGCCTCCTGAGCCATGGAGCCAAAGGTGTGCTGTGGACAGGGCTCCAGCAGTTATTTAAGGGGAGGTGTCAGCCTGTGCCTGTTCGGAACGGAGCATTTCCCACCACCACCAGTTACTGCTGGGACCAGCAGCGAGCCTGGCTGGAGCCCTGGGCTCCCACAGCCAGAGTTTGGCACCCGAGCTGTCGTGAGGATGCTTCCCAACCTGTCCTCCAAACGCACAGCCTGGCAGCAGCTCCAGCTGCTCGCCGAGATCTGCTGAAGGTCCCATCCAAGCAGATTTACAACAGAAGCGTGCTACTGAAAGCTTCCACGATCTTATTTCTCCTCTGATATTAACGCGTCTTGATCCAAGCTCATGAGATGCTGCACAAGCCACAGACAAGCCCTTAAGCCACTGAGAAAAGCACTTCTGAACTCCTGATTCAGCCAAGAAGGCTCCAGAACCTGACTTTATCAGCTCTGACATTAAATGGCAAGGCAACGTGGAGGAAGATTCGTGCATGTACAGTGGGAAGGATACAAGTATGGGAAAACAATCAGCTTCTCCTCACTGATTCATCTATTTCCTCTTCAAAAAGGTTTCATTTATTTATCGCAGCCCGAAAGGATCACCCAGGATTTGTTGCTGTTATATTAGCAACTCATCAGCATTATAATGATCAGTTCTGTTTCCAGCCTGCGTTTCAACCCATCTTGGCAAAGCTTAAGACTTTTTTTTTTTTTTGAGATGAGGTAAAGAAAGAAGCGAAGGCTTCCCCAGACACCCTGACTCAAGAGAGGTGCAGGGCACGTTTCCAGCAGCAGACCCTCACTGGCTGAGCCATTGCTGTGCCTCTGGCCTGGGGTTAATTCATGGGCACAGAGGGGCACAGAGGTGCCCCGATGGGCACCCAGCGCCTCCAGGACCCAGGTCTGGGCAAGCAGTGGAGCCACCGATGCGCTGCTCCCCCTCACATCCCCATCTCCAGATGGAGGAGGACGCACCCCTGCCTAAAAGGAGGTTGCACCCCTGCCTAAAACCCACGATCTCACAGCTCTGCTGCTGCTGGATGGCAGAGGCCAGCCCCTGGACGTGGCTCATGGACCCCACCACAGCACCAGGGGAGCCTTGTCCCCATGGGGCTGGGCACCGGGGGCGCAGGCAGGTGGCACCCCCAGGAGATGTCACTGCCACAGCTGAAATCCCAGCATTAAACACAGGCTGCGAAGAGCCAGCAGCTGCAGCCAGACACAGTTCTTGGCAGCTGCTCACCCAGCAGCCTCCATCGCTTCCCCAGGCACAGGTGGTGAGAGCAACCCGGGGAGGGAGGCTGCTCCGACAGGGAAGGTTTCAGGCAGCGAAAAGGCAACGCAGACAGAACAGTCCCCCCTGGGGCAGGCAGCTTTTAAAGGCGTTGTTTTATTCCCACACCTTGGATTTAACAAGCTCCTTTCTTACAGACCCCACTCCACGAATTACCTGGATCTCACCAGGGTGTCCTCAAGCAGCTCAGTGATGCTCAGCGCAGGGTGCCCGGCGCTCACAGGACAGAGGTGAGGGGACCACGCTCACTGCTTGGGGCCATCGTGCCCCCCGTGCTGGGAAGTTTCTGGCTAAGAACAACCTCGGAGGCAGAGTCCTGAATTTCAGGAACAATTCCTCTGGCAAATGAGGCCTTTGACAGAGCTGCAGGGGGGAGCACCCGGCTCCAGAGCACCCACCCCTTCTGGCAGTGCCAGATCGTTACCTGCTGAAGCGCATCGTTAAATCCAACCTCAGAAGGGTGATGCCACGGGATTCCCACTGCTCCCCCACCCAGGGACACTTTGCAGGGACACCACAAGCTGCTGATCGTGGGGGGAGATGTCCTGAGAGCCGTGCTGGTTTCCCAGGCTCTGCTCTCACGGGTACGAGCAGGCACCGAGCACCACGGCCACCACCAGGCTGCTCCAGCACCTCACGGCCCCCCCAGCTCACGTATTAAACACTTTGCTGCTACCATGACCTTTGGCTCTTTGGGATCTATATCTGCTGCAGGAAGCTCCTGCCCGAAACAGCTGCAAATCCAATTAACAGATTAATAAACCTCCCCAGAGCATCGAGCGCAGCACAAAGCCTCCGCACCGCGCCAAGGCCACCGAGAGCCAGGCCAGGAGCTGGGACGTGCTTGGGCAGCCCGGGGTGTCCCACCAGGCTGTTCCCGTCCCCACCAGTAGCACCCCTGGGCTGTCCCCACTGGGACCAGCCACAGAGCCCCTCCTGGGGCACCCTGCGGGGTGCAGGTCCAGCACCCCCGGTCCGTGCGCCATGCACCACTCTCGGAGCCCGGTGTCCTCCTGCACTGGCACCGGGCAGCTCGGCAGCAGACTGGAGCTCAGAGGTGCCACGGGATACGATTTTATCGGGCAAACCGGGCATCAAAAGGCCCATTATCTAGGGAAGGCTCGCTGCAGCTGAACAATGGAAAACGAATTACTGCATTCCTTCCCCTGTCCTGGCGCCGGGCTTCACTCAGCCTCTGCTCCAAGGGGACCTTGGAGAAAAAGCAGCCCCAAAACGAAACCTTCCCCCAGCCCAAGGAGCTCTCTGCAGGTGCTGCTCAGCCCCTGGAAGAAGCGCTTTGAGCAGCATCCAGGTGATTTCAGCGCTGCATTTCTGCTGGCAGCAGCAGCACAAGGGCCAAAGGTACCCGAGCACTTTGGGGGCAGACTCAGGCTCCTTAGGAGCTTCCTAGAGCAAGTTTCCACGGATCAGGCAGTGGGGCTGGCAGCACGACAGCCCCACCGGGTGCCTGCACCCAAAAAAACCCAGGGCGCAGAGCGGATTACAACTCAAGTGCTTCATGATTGCTCGGTTTCCCGTTACTGCGTGAGATTATCCCGTCTCCACGCTGCTCCGAAAATCTGGTGGGGAATTTGTGAAACATGTGAAGCGCTGAGCACAGAGCCGGGCTGGAGGCAGCGGTCTGGCAGACACCGGGGGGGGCATCAAGGTAAGCGTGCAGCATCTTTATATTTTTTATTAAATAAAGCAAATGCCAAGCAGAACCAGCCAGCGAGCTGTCCTGTTCTGGATACCCAGCATGTTTGCAGAGGAAGGGACCACCAACCGGTGGCTTTCCAGCACCCAGATTAAAGAACAAGCTCCTCAGAGCCACTCGTGCTGCTGTGGTGTTGAGCTGGGCTGGAGGGGCCACAGCAGGGTCAGCCCCAACCCTGCTCCGGGAGGGTGCAGAGCATCAGGATCTGGGACAGATGCAGGGTTTTCATCTCCTTTCAGAGAAGATCTGCTGTAGTTTTACTTTCTATTGATGCTTTGTCCCAGAAATGGCCCCAGAAAAATACCCATGCTCAGAGAAGTGTTAAGGAGGAAACAAATCCCGGATCCTCCTCTTGGAGCAGCATCCCCTGTGCCGCCCTTTGGGGAGGAACCCACCCCCAACGGGACCAGCTCAGACCCATAAATGTCATTACAAACAGCCCCATTTGCTACAGCCTTTGGTAAGGCATGAAACCACCCAGAGCCCAGGGCTGGCTTCCAGCACTATCAGCAGAGGGCTGATAAGCTCAAGGTGTTCCCAGGCACTGCCTTACCTTCGGCTGGCACAGCCCAGGCTGAAGCATTCCTCAGCCCGTTTGCACATCCCCATTGGGACGGGGTGGCGTCCCTGCCTCTTATCAGCTCCGGGGAACCACAGCCAGAAATGTTATCTCCGCTTTCTTCTGCGTGTGGAGCAGCTGCCACAATAAATAACCAGCAAGATCACCGCAGCAGGAGGGCTGAGGAGCAGCCGCTGGGTGTGGGTCGGGGCTAACAGGGGCTGCCAGAAATCCCCTTCCACCGCCGAGCCCCCAGATGGATGGGAGGCGCAGTCACCTGCGAGCATTTGAAACCAACCCCAAAATATCCCGTGCACACCGGGAGAGCCCTCGCAAAGCCTGCTTTCGGGCTGCTTTCCCCTGGGAAGCAGGGCCACCAGAAGCCACGCCAGGGCGAGCAAAGCCTGCAGCTGCTCCAAAGGGGAAGCCAGGTTTGTGGTCCCAGCTCCTGCCCACGCAGCTGAACCGCTCTGGGGAACCTTCCCCAGGCTTTCACTTCCAGGATGACAAAGCCACCGTGGCTTGCGGCCCCAAAGAGGCAGTGAAAGCCTCGCGAGCAGCAGAGGAAGCCCTCGAACGAGGTCTGCGCAGCCTTCAGCCTCGCCTGCTGCACGCATCGCCGGCAGGGCTCTCGCTTTATTTATTAAACAGAAACAGATTGCTAGAGGCAGCTTTAATCCGAGCGATAAAGCCGGTTTCCATAGACACCTCGTGCCTCTCCATAAAAACCCAGACTACGCCAACGAGCTGCGTGCAGCAGAGCCGGAGCTGGATCCGGCCGTGGCTCCGGCACCGCACAGCACCACGAGCCCAGGGCCAGCCCCGCTGGGGGCTGCTCAGCACCCCGGGAGCCTTCACAGCCACCTCCTTGAAAATCCACTGCCTCGGATGGCAGCAAAGAGCACAACTTGTGCAGCATCTGGCCAGCGAGGCGGCAGGCGGGAGCGCAGCTGGGGCTGCACAGGGTGCTTGGAGCACCGAGCACGGCATCCCTGGGGGGACCATGAGCTGCAGAGCCCCAGGAACAGCAGCTCGCCAAAGAAGGGGAAAATGGGCACAGAGCAGCGGGACTCAGCATGTCACAGCTCGGACATGAGCCCAAGCAGGTCACCAGTGGCACCGTGCCGGGACACAGCAGGCAGGGCACGAGCAGCCCCTGCAGTGGCTCCGCTGAGCTCAGCAGGGCGCTGGGTACGAGCGCAGCTCCCACACGCTGCGATGCTGCCAGGAGCCCTGCTGCAGCACACCCAACCTGGGTAATGTCCCCAGGCATCCCCACCTCCTGCTCTTTCTCAGGACCGAAGCCCACGGAGGTGCCCAGCACTGCCACGGCTTCCCGGGGAGCTGGGGCTGCTCTGAGCAGAGACAAAAGCACCAGCGAAGCAGCTCTGTGCAAACACTTCCCCTCCGCCAGCACCACGAGCAGCTGACATCTCAGAACCCAGAGACTAAGATTAGCAGGATTTTTTTAAGCTACATTAACAGTGAAGGGAGGCACAACCATCGGTTATATCAGGAGGATCAGCCCCACACCCAGCTCCTTCTCCCCACCAGCACGGAGCTGCTCCCATCCCCTGCTTTCAGCCTGCCCCAAACTGACTCCATCCAGCCGTGAGCAGGCGACTTACCCAGCTCCTTGGATCCTTGGCTTTCGCTGGCCAGCTCTCCCATCTTAACCAGAGCATCGAAGTATCCTTTTGCTGCGTATGTCATACCTAAGAGCATCAAAAAAAAGGCAGGTTATGGCCTCTTTCATGGCTATTACAACTTCCACGGCACTGAATAGGCGCTAGACACTAAAACAAAAAAGCTCTTACTTCAAAGGGCTTAACCCCACGGGGAGGGGTGAGACAACAAACAGGCAAAATTAGCGCAGAAGGAACACACCGAGGAGGAAAGCTAGCGCAGCAAGATTACAGAGCTATTTAGGAGAAAAAAAGGTACGTGCAAGACCTCGGTGGTTTTCATTCCTGCGTAACCAGCAGCCTGCTCAGCGCTGCTCAGAAGAAGCACCGTGGAATAATTGACTATCACAGACATTCATTAGGAGTTCGGTCTTGTTTGTTGACATTCCAGCTACACACTTCACTTTAATCAGATAAGCAGGGGGTTTCCTCTAATCACGGGAACGTGTTGTACAGCTCCACAGCTCAACGCCACCGGATCGTGCACCACCGAAGCGCATCCAGCATCGTTCGGTGATTAATGCGCTTCCTTCAGGTGCCCCCACAAGCTCCAGGATCCCAAATAAAGGATGACCAGAGACAGCTTTAAAGATTGCGGGAAGATCTTGGCCTCAGAGCACACCCAGAGCAGGGACGTGAGAAAAACAGAAGCTGGATGATCACACCGGGTCCCCACACAGCACTGCGGTAACCGTGCGCCCAGCTCCAAACTGTGACAAACCCGGCACGCTGGAAGCAGCTGTGCCAGCCAAGTGGGTACACCATGCACCAGTGGAACATTTCAGAACATTTCTGCCCCCCAGGACTGCTTCTCCCCAGTGTCTGCACCAGTTTGGAGGCCAAACATGGACTAAGTGGCAGCAGCACACCCAAAGCATGAGCCCCACTTCGTTAGCATCATTAGGGGCTGTGCAGTGCCAGCCCGCGGTGTCCCCAGGAGGACTGTCACCCCCACCACAGCCTTCTTCTCCCCCCCCCCCCAGCCCCAAAAACACCACCGAGAGGGTAGGGAGGCAGCGCAGCTCGGAGGGATGCCAAGGGGGCCTGCATCCACCAAACCCCCATGGAAATACCCAGGAGCCCAGCCTGGCTGCGGGGAACAAGACAGGCTCCAGGCACGAGGCAGGAACACACAGATCCTTCCCAGAGGTCGTGTTTCCAGCACCACCCTTTAAGAACATCAGACAAATATTTTTTTCTGCCGAGTTAAGATTATGACAGCCTCCTCCCTCGAAGGCATCTTCACCAAGCCAATTTAAAAAATAAAATCCAGGAGACACGCAGCGCAATTTTCTGAAGCGAGCAGAGGCAGAGCAAGCTACCTCTGCACGGAGCTGCTGCAGAGCTGGGCATCCAAAGCCATCAAGTCAAAACAGTTGGGTTTTGGGTTTCATCAATTCAGTTTGCTCAGCTAAATCTACACTTCTCTAGTGGCTCCCAATTCCCACATTCCTACATTCCCAGTTGAGAGCTGCCACCAATATTTCAGTTTTTTTCCCTTCTTTTCTAACGTATTGTTCTGGACAGTGTGAACATTCAAGCAACACTTTTAAAGAGAACTTAAATAATTTTAGAGATTCAACAACGTGTGACCTGCACAGGGCTCACACCCTCCAGCGTTTCAGCCCTAAACACATCAGCAGTGTGGTTTCACTTACTTGCTAAGGCTTTTTCGTAGGTCTTCCCCATAGAAATGAAATTCCTGAGGCTGGGATTGAACTGCTCCATGATCGTCTGGAAGAGAGGACAGCAGACGTTAGCAGAGGTGTCAGGAGCTGGGGGCAGCTCAGGGCTCATGCTGAATGGCCAGCTCTGTGCTCACGAAGGCAGAGACAGAGCAAAGCCCCCTGGAGCCCAACACAAACCTCCCGACACCCCGAGCACGCTGGTTGCGCACCGAAGCCTTTGGCACAGCCACGTCTTGGCAGCACTGCTCCAAACCAGCAGCCCTAATGGCCCGGAAGGGCAAGTGGGGTAACTTGGGGTAACTTCCACTGTGGGTAACTGAATGCACAACACATGGAAGTGGCCCAATGCTAAATCTGACACGACAACTCTTGAACACAGCCAGGAACAACCCAATCCATCCCTCGCCCAGCCCCACTGAGGGCACCGCCGCCTTCCGCTGAGCACAGCCACCCTGGAGCAGCTTCCCCAGGCAGGCTCCAGCAGGGGCCACTGATACCAGGGGCAGAGCCCAGGCACAGGAGGGGGGTGGGCAGACCTCTCAGGCACCCTCCCTTCACCAGGAAGGACTACGTGCAGGTTTTGAACCCTATGAGGTGGATGGTGCATGGCAATGCGGCTCCACAGCGTGCTCGTTGGAAAGCAGCTGGGACCTACAGCCTCACACAAGAGCTGCAATGTAATAATTGCTCCAGCCCAGAACATTATCAGATATGGTGAAAGTGGCCATAACGTGGTGTAAATGACCATAACTGGCTGAGAGGGCAGCCCACAAGCCCTCAGGCCAAGCAGCGCACTGGGAGGTGACTGCTGGTGAAAGCCCCGTCCTGGGAGCAGCACGGCAGCACCAGCCTGGTCTGCCACGGACACGCAGGAGGGGCTGGAGGGCAGCATCCAAAGCAACTGCTGAGCCAAGACAGCCCCAAAAAGCGCATCATCCCCAGCAAGCTGGTGCCAGCTGTAGCTAAAGCTCCATGGGAAGAATTGCACCCCAGTGGCCGAGCGCTTGGTGTCACTTCCCAGCTGCCCAAAAATGCAGAAACGAGAACACAGCACACCAGAAACAGTCTGCTGGGCTTTCCCTCCTCCCTCCCTTTAAGATCCTTATTTAACCATGAGGCAGAGAAGGACTAATCGGATCACACACAAGAACAGCTCTTTGTACGTTGGTCACAGCAGCGACTGACCCTCTCCTGCCAAAGCGACTCACTCCCAGCACCGACAGCAGCTCTAAAACAAATCTCAGACTCCCAGCTGGGCTGGGAAAAAGGCAGCGATGCCCCCATGCCCACTGCACCCTCCAGACCCCGCAGCAACCCTGGGTCCAGCCCCACGTCCCTGCCCCATCCCGTGGGCAGCTGCCCACACGTCCCCAGCTGTGGGTGCCCAGGGGACCGGGGCTGTGCCCCGCACCGCTGCCAGCAGCTCCCTGTGCTGGGAAGGCAGCAGACAGACACTTCTGTCAAATAAGCTGATTAAGCAGCTGTCACCTCATCTGAAGCTGGCCAAACACTATAAAGCTCATTTTCTGCCTGGGGCATTTTTTATCCCGAGTTCCTGCTGCCTGGCCTTTCCCGGGCACGGCGGTTTTCATTTTCTTCTGCGGGTGCCTGCGTGCAGGATGGATCGGCTGGGGCAGCCAAGCTGTCGCCTTCCCCTTGTTCAAAATTTAATTTCCGTGAGCAGCAACCCGCGTGGGATGATGCTCTGCCCCAGTCCATGCCGAGCACACCAAGGGCATCGCTTCAGTGCTGGCACAGGGGATCCCAAATCCCCCCCGTAACGCAGCAACAGCTGGGGGACAGGGGGCAGAGCCCCAGGGCAGCCCCGAGCCACGCTACCAAGCCTCAGAGCCCATGATGCAAGGGACAGGAGATGACCCAAGGGGATCTGACGTGGTGAGCACGAGGCTAATGAGGACTCCAGGGCTAATTGGGGCTGTGGGCCAGCCTCCTACAGCACAGGAGGGCTCCTCCGGGGCAGCACGGAGCCGCTCAGCAAACGCGCTCAGCTTGGGAGGAGAAAATTAACCCATAGCAGCAAGCCACGGAGCGAGTTGTTTTCCCTAATTGTAGGAGGCAATTGCACAGGAGCTAATTAGCACCGGGGATGGCTGCTCCGTCCTTCCCACGTCACGTTTGGCTTCGGTCGGCCGCGTCCCCGCGGCGTGCCACCGCCACGCAGAGCTCGGCCCCAGCCACCTGAGGCTGAGCAGCGCCCGTGCAGGAGGGAAATTGGCAGAATTTCTGCAGGGAAAGGATTTTTAAACAGTTTGCTGGGTTAAGTGCAGTAAGTGTTTGTGTATGTATGCGTGCGTGTGTGTATAAATAAACCAGTTTTTGCAGCAGTGCCCAAATAAACAAATCTTCCCCAAAGAATGAGGCTCCAAGAACCAGCACCCAAATGGGCTCAGCACCGAGGCACTGCTGCAGGTGGCAGTGCCAGGGAGCAAAGCTCAGGGCTGAAAGCTCCTCTCGACCTGCAGGGATACGGCACGGAATTTGAGGAAATGCCCTCCCAAAATCCAGCACATCTTCCCCAGGCAGGGGGCTGGGGCACAAGAGGCACGGAGCGACGCAGCAAATCAAAGCAGAAAGGATCCCGCTAACCAAGGGGAGGGGAGGGAGGCGACTTGTGCTGGCCAAATAAAACCCCTGAAACCCTTAGGAGGAAGTTTGCTGAAAGTGAATGTCTTTAAGACGTGGCCTAGAGACTCCAACATAAACAGCCCCGCAGGATAAGGGCATTAAAAAAAAAAAGGGCTCTTCACTCCAGAGATAAAAATAGAGTTTTTCAGCCCTCATTTTCACTGCCACGGTGGGAAAGGAAGCCAGCTCCAGAGCTAACACCTCCATATCCCCCAACACAGAGAAGCTGGAGAGCTACCAGGAAGAAACAAACACTGGAAGATAAACACCTTTACACCAGGGACTCAACAAGCTTCTCGTGCCCAGGAGAGCCGGCACAGCACCACAGCTGCCTGCTGGGGGGACCGGTGTGCCAGCAGCCCCCGGAGGGGCACACGGAGAGGGCAGGGAGCAGTCTGTGTGTGTCTGTGTGCTCCTGCAGGGGCTTCTGTGAGCTGGGAAGGTGAAGCCAGGTTTGCCAGACGCTACCCTAAAGCTGATATTTGGAGCAATTCTGGTACTGGAAGCAAATCTCGCCCTCCCTCAAATTTTGCTCCATCAGCACCACCCCCAAGTTGTTTGCCTTCCACATGCCAGCCTGGGCAGAGTTTAGAAAAACACAGACAAAAAAGAAATCTGGCAGCCAAAGGTTGAAAGGGCTTTGCTTTGTTCCACTACGCTGAATTCCCTGGGTAATACCACTCAGCTCTCTGGGATTGGCATGGCTTTTTTCAGCTGCCAAAAACGAAACTAATGCAAAGCACGAGGTCTCCAGGACACAGCCCTGTGAGTTAGGGGGGGGAGAAGAGTCCACAGAAAGCGAGCTCAACATCTCTCCCCTCCGAGTGGGCTCCACTTTGTGCTACAGCAAGGATTCACCTGCTGCTCCAGTGCCATAATAACCAGCCCACAATTAAAAGTCAATTAAGAGTGCTCCCCAAGAACAAGCTGGAAGTGGAGCTGCCTCGCGTTGTATCAAGTTTCCCTTGCATAGGAGGCAGACCTTCACACCACCTCCCTGAAGTCTTTAAAAAAAAATTAAGAACAGGCTTCATGATTTCCCCAAAGCCCACCCCACACCCACAAGGCACCCCACAGCACCCCTGCGGGACACCGTGGCCGTGCCAAGCTCCGCGGGGGTCTCCTTACAGCAGAGCCACCCCGCGCTGGCAGCTCAGCTACGAGGAAGTTTTGTTTCTAAATGGGTCAGCCCTGCTTTGGGAACGCCTTCCATTATTTCTGTGTTAATATTTAATGTCCAAACAAACCCCGTTGCTGCCACCACCTCCGCGCGCCCTGCCCCGAGCTCGGTGGTGGGACGAGCCCCAGCTCTGGGCGCTGTGGGGCTGGCTGTAGGGATGCTCAGCGCCTTACAACACACCCCGCTGCTCTGCCCCAGGAATTCCCCCACCATCCCAAGTCCCTGGGGTCTCAGGTACCGTGACACACAGCACAGCAGCTGCCTTTCCCAAGCAGAGCTGCTGATAGCTCTTGTTCCGCATCCCTCCGTTGCCAGCAGCAAGGCCACCTGTGCCAAGAGATCCCAAAATTCGCTGTGAACGAGTAGGAAGGGCTCAGGGTGGTCTTCAGGGCAGGGTAAGAGCAGGAACCCTTCTTTAAGCTGTAAACCACTTAATTTCACACCTAGGCACCACTGTCAGAGGATGAAGGCACCCAAGCTTCAGGGCTAGAGCCTGGGTACAGGCTTGGAGGGAGCTGGAGCCCTGCAGGGTGCAGAGCACCAGCAGCACGCTGGCTGGTGGCACCCCCTGGGAGCACCCCACAGGATCCCAAAAGCAGGAACACCGCAGGGCAGAGCCAGCTCCAGCCCCAGGGGCTCTGCTGTGAGCCAGGACAGCCACCAGGAGCTGGGGGCTGCGGGGCCACTGCTCCCAGTGCCAAAGGGCTCAGCTCTGCCAAGAGCTTTTGCAAGACCAGTGCCTGCGCGGGGGCTGCTTGCAGCCAGCTGCCCTACGCCCTGCAACACGAGCAGCAGGGCTGCAAAACCTCAGCTGCGAGCAGGCGCAGCACAAGGAGCCACCCAAGGCAAAGCCAGCGGCACAGGGCGCATTTGGGGTACCTTGGGCAGCTTGTGAGCTACCTTCTGGATAACACTTGGTAACCCGCATGTTTCAGCGGATTTGAGGGGTGCAGCAGGGCTCACAAACCCCTCTCCACACCGTGGCAGAGCCATGGGAAGGAGGGGAAGGAGCAGCTTGGGCAGCCCCACACCGCCAGAAGCGCCCGATCAGCACAAAGCTGCAAGTCAGCTCCGCCGCAGCGCCGAGACGCCCACAGAGGTGCAGCTCGGCAGAATTGGGCTGCCCCTGTGAAAACACCACAGCCCCGGGCCCTGCTCGCTAAGAGGCACCGATCCCGGTCTCCACACCCTGCACCCTCCTGCAGTCAGTGCAGGGCAGCAGCTCGGCACAGCTCGCTCGGCACAGCGCGCTCCCCAGCCACCAGCACAGCACCCACAGAGGTGCTGCAGGGCGCACCTCGGAGCCCCAGAGCTCAGGGTGCAGGAAGCACCCAGCGCTCCGAGGGCCCGAGAGCTCAGCACACAAAATTTGGGGGTGGCACAGGCTGGTTTCTGGGGCCAGCTCTTTCATCTTCTGTCACAGCGCGTTTTCCCTCCGCTGCCAAACACACCGAGCCACCCACCATTTCCCTTCTGATTCACTTGAGCAAGAATCTCCCCTTCCCTCTGGACTTGGAGATAATGAGGCAAGAGGCTGTTACGCTGGCAATAACATTTATTATATCTGATGTGGAGCAAGCGACTATCAGAAATTGTTTCTGTGTTTGCGCGAGACAACGAGGCTCCGAGTTTGGGGTGTTTTTAAGCAAACCCTGCTCCGAGCGCAGAGCTATTCACACACCACTGCAAAGCAATCTTCCACGCAAAGGAATGGCTCTAAAATGAAATGGAGGTTGGCCTGTAAACTGCAGTAATCTAATCTGTCGTAAGTGAGACAGATTTGTCTTCGGGGGGGGAAGGAGGAATCATCCCTCCTTCCTTCCTGCGAGGCTCCTGTGCGATGCGCGAAGGACGAAGCAGGGCTCGGGAGCTGCTGCACCAGGAGCAGCCCGGGCTCACGGGAAGGTGGCCAGAGCCTGATCCTCCAGCAGGAGCTTTGCCCGGCCCCGTGCTTGCAGAGCCCTCGGAGCCAGCCCCGCAGCTGTGCTGCTCCAGCAAGGTCCACACAAGTGAATCAGCGCCAGGGGAAGGTGGGATTACGTTGGTGGAAGGTGCCAGCATCCTCCGTCTCCCTCTGTAATTACTACACATGTGTAGGCAGCTGCCTGTAGTGGCAGCATCGGCAAGGGGGCGGCTGACAGCTCCTCCACCATCTCATTAGCACAGTCACTCCGAGGGTGAACACTGGTTCTGGAACATAATTACAATGGGCTTCCCAAGCAGAACGCCTCAGGAAAGCCTGCGCTGGGGGAGAAGGGTGCCGGGCACGGGGAGCGACTGCGAGAGCTGCTCCAGGCACCGCAGGGGAAGCGGCGTGGCCCCACGGCCCCAGTGGGGTTGGAAGCTGAGGAGAGGATGGCAGCAGCTGGAAGGGAGGCACAGAGCTGCTGCCACCCCCACCCTGTGCCCGGGTTTGGGGGAGGCAGCACTCAGCCCCTGCCTCAGCCCCTTCCTCTGGCTCAGCTCCTCCTGGCCCAATTTTTGCCCCAAGTGCGGCTCAGGCTCCAGCAAAGGCCAGAAAAGCACGGGATAAAAACCACTTTGGCAATGGGGATGCGAAGCACTGAGGGTTGATTTTGGACTGGGAGATTCCCAGGCTTCCAGAGCTCCAGGAGCTCGCAGCCAGCACTGCCCCGAGCCACCAGCCCTGGCGCTGCGCTCCACGGGGCTGCACGAGTCCTCCAAGAAAGAGGCAAACGCCTGCTTCCTGCACGTACCCCATGCAACACCTCCGGAAGCCAAGAAAAGCACCATCATCTTCAGAGAAAAGGCACCTCATTGACTGAGGAAAATGCAAATACAGTCATCGCTGTCTTCCTCCAGTCACCAGCGCTGAGAAGCTGGATGTCGCTGGGGAAAGCCACAAGATTTGCCTCCAGCTTCAAGCTCTCACCCTCTGCGCCCCGGCTGCTCCCTCAAACAGATTCAGGTGCGACCTGACTGCAGCCTGTCACCTTCACGCTCCCTTTGCTTGCTTTTGGGACCCGGTGTGCTGGGACAACCCCACACCACCTTCAGCCAGGTGAGGTTTGGACACCGGCAGCGCAACCGCTCGCTGCGAGCTCCTCGCCAAGTTCCCAGCCCCACGGCTCACACAGCGCAGGAGCGATGGAGCCAAGGGTCAGAGGCAAGCAAAGAGCACGACCAACGTCCACCCCTGGGTTCTCAGGGGACCAGCACTCCTAAGTGCAGTTGTTCTTAGGGCAGAACTTCTCAGCACTCCCCTCCAGTCACGACAAACACCAAGGTGGGTTTGAAGCCACCCAAGAGCCACCCTGCGCGCTCAGTGCGCACAGAGCCCTGGAGAAATTGTTACCTGCCCCACCAAGCTGCCATCACCGCAGCTCACCCAGGACAACACCCCTCAAACAACACCTGAGTCACAGCTGAAACCCTTCCGAGCAGTTGCCCCTGGAGCCTGAGCACACCATGGGCGTGCAAAGCACCCTGCAAAGCACCGCGCGGTGCTCGCCCTGCTCCAGCACCTCCCGCCCAGCCCTGCTGATAAGAGCGCAGGAGAGGGGAGATTTTGGATGCTTGGGGGCATTAAATCAGCACCCTAGGGTGATGGGCTCTGCCTATGTGTAACAACAGCACAGGGACTGATGGACCAGCAGCATTTAGAGGGTGAAATGGAGTCCCATAGACACCCAAATCCCATGTGCTGCTTGATGCCCGTGCACAACGCTCCAGCCGCAGCCCTGCCCTACACCAGCAGCCAAACAGCTCGGGTGCCACGAGCACTGCTTGAGCAGCTGCTGTGCCTGAGGTGTTCCAAAGGAGACTTTGGAACTTTCCTGCCTCGGTGGTTTTCACGCTAAATTTTTCTGTCAGTGTTTTTTTTCCTGTGAATGCTCACAAGTAACTCGGTCTGACCACTCCAGACACAGGGAACCACGCAAGCCTCCCGGTTTAATAAATGACACCCCCCACGCATGCCAGGACAAAAAGGTTCCCTGGGCTCAGCACAGCACCCAGCGGAGCAGAGAGCTCTCCCTGCACGAGGGGAGACCAAAGCGCACGAAACATTTCCTTTTTCTCATGCCACTGAGAGAGACGGGGGGAAAAAAAGGGGCAAATCGGGCAATGTGGAGATCCAGCAGCTCCAGGACGCGAACTGCTCGCAGGTACCCGAGGAGAGGCAGGGACCGCCCCGGCGGGGCTCGCCCGTGCCGACCCGAGGTGACCCGGGACAGGGGGGTTAGGACGGGCCCCCCCCAGGCTGGGGGCCGCTCCCTGCCCCCCCCGGGCCGCCCCTCGCTGCCCCCCGGCCCCGCTCCCACCTCGGCGCGCCCCGGGGCTGCGGAGGGACCGGGGGCGGCTCGGGCAGCGGCGCCCCCCCGGCGGGGCTCGGAGCGCTCCGTGCAGGCTCCGGGGGGGTGGGGGGAGCGGGGGCGGCTCGGCCCCCCCCCCCCCGGGCGTCGGTAGCACATCCTCCTCTTTCCTCCTCCTCCTCCTCCTCTTCATCCACCTCCTCTCCTCCTACTCCAGCCGCCCCCGCAGCAACCCCCGCGCCCGGCGGAGGAGGGGAGGAAAATGAGGGAAAGGGAAAAAGAAAAAGAAGGGGGGGGGGGGAAAAAACCCAAAAACCTGTTGCCGGGCTCACCTTGTAGACATTCTCGGTGAGGCGGTGCACCTCCTCGGAGCGGGCCATGCCGGGCGGGCCGGGCAGCACCATGGGCAGGCGGTGCGCAACGGTGCGGAGCGGGGCCGGGCGGTGCGGGGCGCACGGAGAGCAGCACAGCGCAACGGGGCCGCCGCTTTTATCAGCTCCCGGTCGCCGCCGCCCGCCCCGCACCGCCCCGACCCGCCCGCAGGGAGGAGCTGAGCCGGGCAGGGCTGAGCCGGGCCGGGCAGGGCGCAGGGTGCGGGGTGCTGGGCGCTGTAGGGTCGGGGGCGACCGGGGGTGGCCGGGGGCTGGGGCTGGGGGCGGCACTGTGCTGTGCCCCGTCTGGTGCATGCCCCCTGGATGGGCCGTGGTGGCCCACTGCGCTCCTGTCCTACACCCCGTTCCCATCCTGTACCCCATTCCCACCCCGTACCCCATTCCCATCCCATACCCTGTCCCCATCCTGTATCCCATTCCCATCCCATACCCCAGTCCCATCCCATTCCCTATTCCTATCCCATGCCCCATTCCCTATTTCCATCCCATTCCCCATTCCCTATTCCCATCCCGTAATCCCATTCCCCATTCCCATCCTGCACCCCATTCCCCATTCCCATCCCATTCCCCATTCCCATCCCATACTCAATTCCCATCCCACACCCCATTCCCTATTCCCATTCCCCATCCATACCCCCCACTGCACCCCATAACCTATCCTATAGCCCCCACTCTTCCCCATCCCACACCCCGTGACGCTCCATCCCGTACCCATCCTATATCTCGTGCCCCTGTAATACCCTGCACCATGCCCCTGCAGTCCCCGCTGTGCCGTACACCCTCGCTGCCCCCTGTGCTGACCCCATTCCTGACCCACAGCTGACCCACAGCTTTTCCAGGGGAAAGCTGTCAGACACCGTCCAGAAAGGACAGGAGGGTGCCACGGGTGGGCACGGGGCACACGGTGTCTGTGCGCAGCCAGGAGCAGGGCTCAGCCTGGGGAGGGGAGGCAGCCCCTGCCTGCTGCCCCCCGGGCTCTCCCTTCCTCACCCCACCAGCACTGGGGGTGCTCCGGGTGTCCCCTCAGCCCTCCCGGCCATCGAGCTGTCCCACTGCTGTCCCTCGGGTTGATGGCAGTGCCTTTTGTGTGGGTCCCGAGGGATGCGAGCAGCGTGTGCCTCCAGGGCCAGCACCAAACCATGCTCATCCTCATCCTCATCCTCATCCTCATCCTCATCCTCATCCTCATCCTCATCCTCATCCTCATCCTCATCCTCACGGCCGTCCCCACCACGCAGCCACCCCCTGCTGCTCCCTGCAGTGCTGTCCACGCTTGAACCAGAGCATCAAGGGGCTCGTCCCTGTCCCTGTCCCTGTCCCTTTGTGCCCGTGGCCACACCAGCAAGGAGCATCTGGGGTCTGGAGGTGCCAGGGTGCAAAGCACCACCACGGGCAGCCTCTCCTGGCCCTCGGAGCGAGCATTTCCCTCCTTCCCCTCCTGCCCCTCGGCCACGGGGAGCAGTGAGGTAGTTCTGCAGCCTCGCCTGCTTTTCTCAGCCATCTCCATCGATTCCGAGCAGCAGCCGCAGGAGCAGCCCCAGCCAGTCCAGACCTCGGCCCCAAAGCTCTGCTCCTGCCCCCCCCGCTGCTTCCCCTCCACCTCCCGCAGGCGAGGAGCCGGGGGGCACCCAGGGGTGCTGCTCAGCCCGGGCACACCTGGATCCCAGTTTGGCCTCTCAGAGGTTTCCCACACCAGAGGACAGAGAAGAATTTATGGCTGTGTGCAGGCTTTTCTCGTTTTTTGGTGTGGCCGGTTAACCCTTTGCTGCTAGGGCTGGGGGACAGAAGGGGGGGGACAGCCCCTTGAGTGGGACATCACCACGGGTGGGACATCGCCTTGGGGGGACTTCACCATGGGTGGGACATCCCCACGGGTGGCAGGCCCCCGCTGCCCACGCTCTGCTTCATGCTCCAGGCTGCTCCTGCCCGAGGTTTGGGGCTGCTCCCGTGGCCAAGGCGCCGCTGGCTTTTTGCTGCTGGAGAGGGATTTCAGAGCAAGCGGCCGGGAGGAGAGTGCCTCCATACGCGTCTCCATCACCTTATTTTTAGTTGCGTTATGTAAGTTCTTCGCTACGTCACGAATGTGGGGGGTTCTTGCATCTAATTCCAGTGTGACAGCCCAGCAATTCAAACAAGCTGTTCTTCTGGTGGAGAAGATAAAAGGATTTGTAATTTCTCGTAATAAAAGAGGCCTTTTGGGACGACCCTCAGAGAATCGCGCTCATCTAGGCCTGCCCCCAGCCTCCGAACTGCTCTCCTTTCCTCCTGTCTTCTGCTTCTCTTTATCTCTATCCCCAGGAAATCTGAGTACTGAAAGCCTTTCTGCCTCGCACCCCCTCGCTCCCAAAGCAAATCCTCATCTGTAAGCACCCACTGATTTCTCAGTCGTACATTAAGGAAGGGATTTACCAAATTCCTTTTACCCCTGGCTTTTCCCGTGTCCAAACACGCTGCTGGGCACCCTCTGGCCGTGTTTCTGCCGATCCCACCACGGGGCCGCCTGCCCCCAGCGCCCTGGGAATTCGTGGCAGGAAAAACCTGCCTGCGCCTCGTGCCCTACCATTTGCTTTGCTTTCTCCTTTTATTTTTTTTTTTTCTGTTAGCTGTCTTTTTGTTACCGTGATTCACTCCCCAGGGAGCAGCGGCAGCTGGAGCGTGCCCAGGGTAACCATGGTGTTGGAGTCCCTGGGTTTGCTTACATCCAGGCAGCACCTCCAGCTGCTCCTCGCCCGCTGCCTCGCCAGGCAGGGACCGAGCGGGGGCCAGGCTGGAGGAGCAGGACCCGAGGCAGGGACCTCACCCCCACGCCAGACCTCTGCCACCAGCGGGGTTCCCGTGCCCCAGAAGTCAGACCCAAGCCCCGGCCGTGGAGCCAGCCCTCCCCGTTGCCAAACCCCCTTTGCGCCCGGTCTCTCCCCAGGGTGACGGCGCATCCACGCACGCGGCACCGTCCACCTCCAGCCCCGGGTGGAGCGAAGTTGCTGTGGCAACACCAACTTATGTAATCCACCCAGTTCGACTGCAGGTGTGTGGAGGAAATGGTGCTATTTTAGAAGTTTCATTAGGCTCCTTCCTAATTATCAGCATGGCGTCACGCCAGCGCGCCCAGCCGGGTCACGCGCCCCGGCACCTGGGGCGAGCACCAAGTTAGGGTGTTGGTGGCCAAAAGCAGGGGCTCGGTGGCACAGCCGGGGTCTGACGGCGCTCAGCAGGGCTGGGGAGGGCTCCTCTCATGCACCACGCACTTAGCCCATGGAAACTTGCTGCCTTGGGGCCCTGTTATAGCCGGCACCCCCTGGATTCGTGGCGAGGTGGAGACGCGCACGCTCGTCCGTGCAACCCGGCATCCCTCTGGGGAGGTGGCTGCGGGGCCACATCGCTGCTCGGGGAGGGGACGGTGAGGCTGCGAGGTGTTGGTGGAGCTCCTGCATCCTCGTGGCCTCAGGAAAGCCTCCTGTCATACACAAGAGAAAAAAAACCTGAAGGCAGGTGATGATCCCTCGCACCTCCAGCCATGACGTGGCCCCAGTCGCTACCAAGAGGACGCCCGGCCCTCACCGCCCGGCTCCGCAGCCCTGGTGGTGTCTCTGCAGGGGCAGGAGAGGGGGCACGGAGGGAGGGGGCTGCTGGTTGCAGGGAGCGGGGCTCCCTTGGCTGGCGAGGTGGCAGAAGCTTTCTCTGTCACCAACTTGCCTGGCTGGGACCGTGGGTGTGAGGGGCAGGGGCTCCCCACAATCGCTCTGCCAGCAGCAGTGCCCTGCTCACGGCGTGCAGAAACAAAAGGAGCCAGAAGGAAAATCTCCTCCTCTACCCCTCTGTGCAGTGTGGCACAAGGCAGGAGCGTACCTGCGAGTGTCAACTTGTTAATGAGATTAACAGGAAATTTCCGGGCTTTTTGTCTGGCGCAGATGGCTTCCCCATCACAGCCCCGCTGCCGCTGCGCGTCTTCTGCTGTGGGTCCTCTCCGCACTCTGCCAGGAGTTATTTGTTTCCAAAGCAATTTTAATATGGTTTTCCTGCCATCTGACGTGGCACTTTGGGGAATCGGCCTAATGGGTCTGAGCAAACCCAGCCGAGCCCCCGGCGCAGGATGTGCTGTTCCCTCGGCCGTCTCATCCCGCTCAGCCTCTTTGGCTGGGTACCGCTGATCGATGCGTGGTTCCCGTCCGCATGCGGCTGCAACCTGAGCCCTGACCTGTGCCATCGAGCTCCAGGCTGCTGCACTCCCTGCCTGCTGCCTTTCCCGTCCCCCTCCAGCAGCAGCAGCAGTGCAGGGGCTCCGTGGGGCTCTCCCCACCACCTGGGGCCGGTCGCTGCCCTCCGGCAGATGAAAACCTCCCTGGGGCCTTGCACAAGTGCACAGCAGCGCTGATGGCATCGGGATGCTGGCAGGGTGGCTGTGATGCCTCACAGTTGCCCTCGGTGCCCAGCTGGGTGCCCCCTGGTCCCACCACGGCCACAGGACCCCCGGGTCCTTCCCAGCTGCGTCCCTCCCCTGTGCCACCACTGGCGCGCTGCACGCGTGAGATTTTGGGGTTTGGTTTTGGAGAGTCGGGGCTGAAAAGTTGCCATGATATTGGAGATTCCCTGCGTGTGTCAGCAACTGTCAGCCCGTTAAACCCCCCAAAGCACGAATCAAGTAAAGCCATTTATGGAGGATTAGCAAAGGATGAACAATTCGGGCTCTTATTTTATTAGGTGGAAGCTGTGGCACTGAAATCCAGCACAGAGGCTAAAATACTGCTGACAGCACTTTCGAGCCCTCATCTAGCTCTTTGCTGAGCAGGTCTCCATCCGTGCCACCAAGTAGGTCGCTGGTACTTCACAGGGGAGGAGAGCGAGGCACAGCGAGCACCACAACTCACCCCACGTTAGCCTGAAGGGCAGGGGCAGGCAGAGATGGGGCACGGAGCTGGGCCAGTGGGGCGCTGGGGAAGCAGCTCCCAGCCCGGCCATCTGCTCCTGGGGCACGGGGCTGGGCTGGGCACCACTGCCAGGATCGGTGCCTGTCCCCAGGGTCACTGATGGCAAATAAAATTGGTGGCCCAGGATGCGGGCATGGGCTGGGGATGTGCTGGCAGAGGGCTCTCGTGGCAC